CACGTATATGTGGTTTACAGCGTAAACAACTGACGAAAAATTGCTCACATGGCAAAGGATTATAGCACACATCATCGTTTTGTATACTCAACCGTTCATACACTTAGATAAGTACACTTCTGTTCGATCGAATCAACAGCGGCACACTGAAAGAATTTCCAACCATTGCATCATACAGACCAACATATACCGAGCGACAAGTGCACGTTTTGACACCCAACGTGTGTTTTTTCTCTTCTTCCTTTCATCTTTCCCTCTCTCTCTCTCTCTCTCTCTCTCTCTCTCTCTCTCTATCTATCTATCTATCTATCTATCTTTCAGTCATTCGTTTGCTCTAACCGCTCATTTTCTCCAGATCACTATGATTCTTGCCGTTTTCAAATCCACTCATTTTTCGGATTTACTGCAGAAAATCCAATGTCGTTGCAAATGAACCTATTTATGATCTCGTACGAGAATTCACACGCTGCGAATTAAACTCATTTATTAAAAGCAGAAAGGAAAAGTTTTGAAAACGGTTCGCAGTGGAAAAAAGAAGAGAAAAATGGTATACAATAAAATTTTCGAATTTTTTTTCATACAAAATTCTTATTTTATATTGTTTATACTCTGTGGATAGAGTTTTCACACAAAGAGACACATATAGCAATCCTTATTGGGCACCAAATTCATTTGTGTAAAACGAATAACGAAAAACTTTTGTTCCCAAAAGATGCGTGCATCAAAAGTGATTAACATTGTTCGTTTGCTCTATACTATTTTTCGATATATTTCGCAATACCCATTATTGTGTCACATTGTGCATTCGAAATTCATATTTGCGCGCAAAACTCTACAACCTAACCATGAAAATGTCACCCAATATATATATTTTCTAATTATAATAGTTTGCCATTAATTTTTCATGATCCCTCATACATTTTCAGTATACAAACACACACACACATGCCCAAATGAATATATGAACATATCTACAATATATACTGTGTGAGTACACAGAAAGAACACAGTAAAGCTCTGCAAAAGTATAAAAGTACTTGTCTATTTACATTTTTCAACAGGGCGATATTTTAAATATTGAATTTGGTGCTCGTTCTCAGCACTCAAAAACTCAAAATGCAGATTGTGTGCTCGAAACCCATCGTAACATTGTAGCTTGAGCTTACTTAACTGCATGGCATTCTCTTTCTCTATCGCACTCTTTCTCTCAATGTAACTTTTCGGATGTTAAGAGAGTAAGAGAAAGAGTGAAAATGCTGAACAAAAAAACAAATTGAGAAAGAGAAGAACAAGTGGAACTGATTAAACTTTGTAAAGCGCTGCACCGAACTTCCATAAATTATTTGGAGGGCAACAATAACAACAAAAACAAAATACTTGGTACTGTCCACATTTCACAATTATTTATACGCGCTGCCACATGCACGAAAAATTTATACTATACGGAGGTTAAACTTAGTCAAATCTGTTGTGAATGTGAAATACATACGTGAAAGTTTTTCGTACTTTATTACAAAGCTAATGTTTTTAGACGTGTACTTTTTTCCATTAGCCATCCAAAAAAAAACTCAAATTTTAATTGAAATTCTTTAAGCACAAAAAAATGGAATATATGTTTTAGCCTGAACTAGAGAATGCATGAAAAAAACATAATGGTTTCTGCTGCACAATAGGATGACGAAGAGCTGTTTGTTCGTATTTTTTCATCTTCTGTTCAATGCATGTATGACTGTTCTGTCTGTTTTTTTTTTCCTTTTGGTGCACATGAAATCTGCGAATAATTTAATCGGGATGATTTTCATTGTTGTTCATTCGGACATGGTTTTTTCCTCTCTATATTTCCTCTATCTCTCTATTGTCTTCCATGAAAAATGGTCGTACGAAAACTTTGTATTACCTTGATACTGTTGTGCTGATTACATGTTCGTTGTTTTGTAATCGAACAAACTTCAGATTTCAACTGCAACGAAAGTTAAATAGCTTAATTATTGAGACAGGTCAGTAATCTGATGAATAAATCCAGCTCTTAACGAATATAAATTCAAATAAATTACTTTGTATTAACGTAATGGAACATTGAGGCTTTTGTTTCAACAACACACACACACAAAAAAGCCATAATGCACACTACTCAAATTGAGTATTACCGTAATTGCTAGACTCAGAATAATCCCAAGCGAAAATATAAGCGAAGCAATGGCGTCACATATATTAAATGTATATGCGAGAAAATTAGGAAAGTTTGTTTTGTTTCTCTGCAGTTTTCAACTTGAAATTCGTCACATAATTCCTCGTTGAAATGTTGTGAATATATCGACAGGCTATTCACTTATTTTTCTATTTGTTTCTCTTCCTTTATTTTTTTGTTTCTTCTATTTCCTCTGGCTTGCCAATTGGAAAATTGTGCTACTAAGAAAATCGATCAAAAATGTACACAAAGTTGCATAAAGTCCACAAATAACGAAATTCTTTTCGAAGAATTGCATGTGTGTGCGGTTTGGCATTTATCGGTTTCAGTTTGAAATTGTGAAACGAGAAACTCGTCGATTTTCAAATCAAAAATTCAAAATGAATATGGAGAACGTTATTGATTTCCAAACTTGGATAGCAAACAGTTCGGCATTTTGCACGAATAGCCTCAATATACCAATCAAATGTTGACTTTTTGATTTGAATTCCATTTCAGAATGGCAGCGGCCCCTTTTGCACGCCTGCTCCTATGAAAATGATATACTTGGCATTTTTTTGACAAAATGATTTAGTTTTTATAATTTAATGCGTTTTTTTCTCGATTTATTTGCCGCTCTCTTTTTTTGCTCTTTTTTGCCTTGGTTATTCGAGTCGAATATTGTCGACTAATTTTGCGTTTTAACTTTGCGAGGAAGAAGAAGACAATAATGTGTATATGGTTGGAAATTTTAAAAGCCACCATCAAAGTGCTCAAATTAAAACACCGAACAAATGATATTGTGTGGATATATTCGTTCTCTTGGAACACTGAATTGCTATGACACGAAATGATCGGGTGTGTGTGCTTGAATTTATATATCTTTTCGATCGATTTAACAGAGCAATTCATTTGGGTCAGTCTACAAAGCGTCGCCACAATTTATGAATTATTTATGATCAATTATTTATCATTACATATTTTTATATATATATATTCAGCGCGAAAAAATGGTGCCCATTTTAAAATACATTATTCCATTCAGTCAGCGATTATAATCAGTAAGGCTATTCATTTTAATACGATGTGCAGTGTAGGCGAATGAACGAACGACCGAGCGCGTTTGTGTATGTATTTTTCACTCCATCTCTTGGTTGTGTATTATTTTCCATAATCAGCCATTGCACTTGTCGCCCGGACTAAGTTCTATTTCCGATTGTCATGATATTCTATTCAATCCTATTTAAACGTATGAGCGTATTGGAATCGTCGAGCCAGAAAATTCGGTGCATTGTTAAATGTTCCCAATGTCGTTTGAATATTGTCAAAAATTGCACAACCAATGCAGCTGTTTTTTTGGAGGCGGTTGGGCGGATAAAATGAGACTTTTCAACAATACAAAATGACATGAATTTGTGTGTTAAAACTATCTTTTTTCCTGTGTACACTCTCTTCAATTATCTCTTCTTCTACCCTTTCTCTATCACATTCAGTTAAATTATCAACGAATAAACGAAAACAATGTATGAGAAACTATGGAGATTAGCAACTGTTATTTTGTCTAGATAAAGTTTTTCGATGCACTAAAGTCTTTATCGGTTTCACATTCACTTGTGTGTTGTTTTACTCTCAAATGGTGATGAATGCACACAAGGTTGAGTGACTTCGTTTGAATAAGGAATTAGTGGTCGATGGATTGGCTTTGACCTAACATGTCTGTATTAGCACTTGTACTATGCGCATACAAGATTCCATACATTTTTACAATTTGTTCCGTGATGAGCTTTATTATGCGATCAAAAATTTAAAGTTCCATTATGCAATAATCTTGTTGAGGTGAGCGTAATAAATTCGTTGGGTGGATGCCGTTTTTTTTTTTTTGTTTGCCGATAAATTCCATCAGACTAAACCATTTAGCCATTTATTGTGAAGTGGAATGCAAGATTTATTTTCAAAGGTCTTTTTTGTGTACTTGTGTGTACATGTGACACTGTAAGTGTATGTGTGCGTGCGTTGTTTCCAAAAGAATAGAAAAATAAAATGAATTTTCGCATTTCAAAAGCGCTCTCCATGTTTTTTTCGCTCATTCCTTTGTGGTTTTGATTCAAGTAATTGTGGAAAATTCAAAACTCGATAAAGTTGTTTGAAAAGAGCAGATAACAAAACGAATTTCTTTTGAATGAGCGAAACTTTTTCTCTTTGTATTTATCTGGCAAACATACAGAAGCATTTGATGGATAAAATAAAATATTCGCGTTGAATCAAGGTAAGAAAAAAAGATGACAGAAATCTATTGACAGACAGACGACAAGAGTGAGAGAATAAATTCAATACACGGACTTTCTCAGGTGTTGATGGTTGTCGTCGACATTGCTATTATGACAATTTTGCATTATTCACGTTCGTATTATGTGCGTGATGATGTTTTCACTCGATTGCGTATGATTTTCTCGGGAGAGTGGTGGCGAACCAACGAATAAAAAAGTTCATGGCAAAATGCAAAGAAAATCTTTTTATCATCGGCATTCAAAACATTCTAACGCCCACCCTCCCATTCCATCGAAAGTCACTTTTCGCCAAATTCTATTACATAAAAGCAACCAAATAAAAGAGATAATGAATTTTTCTGCACTTTCATAACTTCAACAGTTCTTCAAGTTTTTGTGTTTTGTCGAAAATTGTTCACATGTTTTTTTTTTTCTTGTGAGCTGCTATCGTTGGTAATATTGTTGTTGGTGTTGTTGTTGTCAAATTTTGAAGCATGTATAAGCGACACGTTGTTTGCAATTTACTAACTTTTTTGTGCCTGTTTTCGTTTTTGTCTTCTTTGCAGTGTGAACCGGGACTCGGTGCTAGCGTAATGTATAATCTTCTCTACAATAAACCACAAAAGTTGATGCTTCTAGCTGGATGTAGCACCGTTTGCACTACTGTCGCTGAAGCAGCAAAAATGTGGAATCTCATCGTGGTAAGTTTCAGTTTTTGAAATATATGCAGCTAACAGTGACTTTGATATGAAAATGTCATATGTACATATGTGGCACCTTCTGTCACACTCACGTCGGAATAAACGGAGTAAAACTATTTTTGAGCAAAAGTATTAGCAAGCGCGCACGCACACTTCTCGGATGCTGATGATGATGACGATGATGTGTCTTTTGAAGATGAATGGAGAATAACAAAGTGGAAAAAGCCATCGAACGATGTTAAAATCTAAAATGCTTTATGCTTGAAAATAAATTAAGTTATTTGATGCTTCAGCAGGAATCAATTGGCAATAAAGAGTGAACATTGAGCATAAATAGATTAAACTCGTTTCACGAATGTCATACATCATATTCATCGGCAAATTCAGATAGATAGAGATATGCATATAAACAGATCACACACACACACATACACGTGTGTATGATTCATGAATGTTCATCGATTTACAATGATTACAACACATTATTGATGCATAAATGATTCGGAAATGAGACTGAATCGAGAAATCTCAATTGCATTGTAAATTTTCACAAACATGCAATATATATCGATATCAATTCAAACCCAATTTCCAATACCGTATATCGATGCAGAATGTTCATTCGAACATCAAACCTTTCGATATGAAGCAAGTTCATAATTGATTTTGCCAAGTTTGATAGTTTCCATCTACTCTACAAATGATTTCAAATGATAATGATAGGTTGTGAGTGTATGTGATTAATTTTGTTTTCTATTTGTATACACTTGCGTGTGTGTATGTGTTTTTCTTTCTCTTTTTTCTCTATATATTGCAGCTATGCTACGGTGCATCAAGCCCAGCACTATCGGATCGTAGTCGTTTTCCAACGTTGTTTCGTACACACCCATCAGCAACTGTGCATAATCCTACGCGCATAAAAATAATGAAAAAATTCGGCTGGTCACGGGTTGCAATCCTTCAACAGGCTGAAGAAGTTTTTATATCGGTAAGGAAATTATCTCTATATAAATCTCGCTTGCTGTCGTAATGGAAGCAAAACTTCTCCTACTTGGAAGCAAAACTTCTTATTTCCGTTGAAATGAAAACTTTCGTCGACCTCATTATTATGCACAAGAGTTGTTGTTTTTTTCCTGTTGCTCATTTTCTTTTGCAAAAAAAAAAAACAAAATTCTCTTTCACTTGCATATCGAATAATGGATTTTTCTCGATTTTTGGCAGACCGTCGAAGATCTCGAAAATCGTTGCAAAGATGCTGGCATCGAAATCGTTACCAGACAATCATTTTTATCAGATCCAACGGATGCCGTTCGAAATTTACATCGGCAGGATGCACGAATTATTGTGGGCCTTTTTTATGTAGTTGCCGCTAGACGCGTTTTATGTGAAATTTATAATTTGAAATTATTTTCGAGGCCAGGCGAACGAAGCTATGTTTGGTTTTTTATCGGTAAGCATAACAGTTATATTCATTTGAAAAAAACAATGAAAGCACTATTGTACCATCTGCAGGCAAGAACAGTCAGTTAGATATAGCGAAAACAAAAAAAAAAGTATGATCGAACACGAAACATTTGGTTGTAATAACAATAATAATGTTTTGATATTTCAATTTAACGCTTCAATACATTCACACGATTCGTGAAACAGATTGAATTATTATATCGATGAAATCACTTGCACAATCTTTATATATAAAATACTGTACCGTTGAAATTGTAGAAACCATGTATCAAACTAATGAAAATTTATGTTTTTTTCGCACTAAAACAACATTAATAATAAATGCCGAATAGGTTGGTACGAAGATAATTGGTATGAGGTTAATCTCGATGCTGAAAATATCACATGTACACGCGAACAGATGAAAATGGCGGCTGAAGGACATTTAACCACTGAAGCGTTAATGTGGAATCAAAATGTTGACGAAAAAACCATATCCGGCATGTCATCTGGAGATTTTCGGTGAGATTTTTGTTCATTTAAAAGAAAACATTTCTACCTCTTGTGGCATTTATGCCAATGAAATCTCATTAAAAGCATTGATTCATTATATTCGGTAGAGTCATTTTGATAATGAATTATTTCTTAATCCGTCATTGTTTTGAATGCCAAACCATTTTTTGGGGGATGCTTGAATAAATGAAAATCCATTCAAAAATAACGTTGACCTAAAATGTGACATTCATTTGTATGCAATAGTTTGACATTTCAATATGGAAACAAGAGCTAAATGAATCGTTTTCAGGATCTATCGTTCAATAGTTCTCAATTTCAGAATTAATTTAATAGGTAAATGTTGTTTTTGTTATCTTATAGCAAACGATTAGACAAGGTATTAGTTGAACGTGGACATGATATAGGCCATAAACGTTATCCAATTGGTTATCAAGAGGCACCACTTGCATATGATGCCGTTTGGAGTGTTGCCTTGGCATTTAATCGAACGATGGAGGGACTAGCACGAAAGGATAAGAAACGTTCGCTCAAGGATTTCACATACACTGACGGTGATATAGCTGGTGAAATTTATGCAGCCATGAATTCCACATCGTTTAAGGGCGTTTCGGTAAGAAGCATATAATTATGTGCAAGAAAAAGATTAAGAGAGAGTGTGGGAGAGAGAGAGAGAAAAGAAAATTTTTGAATGCGCAAAACTTTGCGGCAAAGCCCCTTTCAATCTTTTAGTACTTTATTTATTTATTACCAAAAAGCTTTAAAATACATAAATAACTTTTTACGATGTTTTGAAAGTGTATATTCGATTACTGTATGTTGCGAATTTTCTCGTTTTATCATATTTTTCTCTTCTTCTTCTTCTTCCTTTCCTTCTTCGGAATAATCTTCGACAGGGACTTGTGGCGTTCAACACTCAGGGTGATCGTATTGCAATTACTCAAATCGAACAGATGATTGATGGAAAATATCGAGTCCTTGGACATTTTGATATTCAAGCCGATAATCTTACATGGACGGGATTAGAAGAGTGGCAAGATGATAAGGTAATCAAATCACTCCAAAATATAATGGCACATTTTCACAAATATATATACATTTTACAACTTCACACGATAAGTACTGTTCAATCGATTTCATTATTATATTGAATTATTGAAACTAATGCATACTTTGAAAATTTATACCAAGTTTCTGCTTTGCATAAAATGCAAATACCTAAATTCAAATCATATTTCGAAGAGAACATTTCCATCCAATTTATGCAAAATCAATGCATACCTATTTTCCAATTTGAAAATCATTTTCCGAATTATACACCTGCTTATAAAATACAGCAAAGCATTTTGATATAAAAAAAACGTTTATAGTCTGATTATTATCAATAGCAGATTGGAATACTTGATGTGTTGAGTGAGAGAGAGTTAATATAAAATTGAATATTGAAATTCCATTTCAATATGATTGCAGATACCGCAGGATCGCACAATTATTCGACGTGTTCTACGCACCGTATCATTAACGTTGTTCGTATGCATGAGCACCATTTCAGGTTGCGGTATTCTCGTTGCCATCGCTTTAATCGTGTTCAATATTTTCAACAGTCATCGACGGTAAGTTTTTCATATACACTGTTATTTCTCTGTGTGTCAATGGCCATATACATAACTACATGCAGTAAATTCTATTTGTCGATGGTGTGGATGGCATTTTTTCTCTCTTTTTATTTTTCTGTTAAATCTAACTGAAATGTTGTTATCTACCTTTTTTCAGTGTGATTCAGCAATCGCATCCCGTGTGTAATACCATTATGTTATTTGGCATAATCATTTGCTTGTTATCGGTGATTTTGCTTGGAATTGACGGTCGCTTTGTTAGTTCCGAAACATATCCAAAGGTATGTTTAGCACAGTGTGGGGAAAAAAACCTCATGTCTCTTGATTCTTTTCTCTCTGTTGGGCCATTGAAATTTTACACATCTTTTTTTTTTTTTGCATACATGTAGGTATGTCAAACGAGAGCGTGGATGCTTTCAACTGGTTTTACTTTAGCCTACGGTGCTATGTTTAGTAAGGTATGGCGTGTCCATCGATTTACAACGAAACAAAAGCAAGATCCAAAGGTTTGTAACACAAATTGTTGCCTCTTGAGCTTTCAATGAAAATTCACTAGAAGCTGTCATCGAAAATGTGTGTTCTTTATTTTCATCGGCAAATTGCATTCTTTTTTTCTTCTTCTTTCTCCCGTTCTGGATCATTTTGATACTTCAGCGCAAAGTGGAGCCTTGGAAGCTTTATACAATGGTATCTGTATTGCTGTCGGTTGATTTGGCGATACTGTTAACGTGGCAATTCACCGATCCACTTCAGAGACGACTTGAAACGTTTCCACTGGAGAAGCCATTATTGGTAACTGATGACATTCGAATAAGTCCAGAGCTTGAGCATTGTGAGAGTGGAAACCAATCGATTTGGTTAGGTACGTGAGAAAAAGTTTTAACGGCTTACAATGTATTACAATCGCATCAAATGTATTTTGCGGCTGTATATATGTGTATGTGTCTGGGTGAAAACAAAATCTTAATGAAAATTCTCATTTCTATTTTCTATTTGCGGCACTGGAAAATGTATATAAATAGGTGTGATTTACGTGTATAAGGGTTTAATATTGGTGTTTGGTCTGTTCTTGGCATATGAAACACGCTCAATAAAAGTGAAACAGATTAAGGACTCCCGTTATGTGGGTATGAGCATATACAATGTGGTTTTATTTAGTTTTATCACAGCGCCGGTTGCAATGGTAATTATTATTGAATGTTTTGGGTCCTGAAATGTAATGATTTTAACAACTGTTCAAATACAAACTTCTCCACTAATATTGCTAGGTAATTGCCTCACAACAGGATGCATCGTTCGCATTTATGGCGCTGGCTGTTATTTTTTGTTGTTTTCTCAGCATGCTGCTGATTTTCGTGCCAAAGGTTTGTGTTCAGTTGTTTTTTTGTTTGTTTGCCATTAGATGAAGCGAAACTCTTTATGTTAACATGTTAGAGGATTGTCTCCTTCAAATTAAATAAAAAAAAAAAAAAAAACAATATATATTCAATTTTTGTGGTAGGTTATCGAAGTGGTCCAGAATCCACACGATAAACCAGAATCCAAGTACAATCCTGATGCTGGAATTTCAAAAGAAGACGAAGAACGGTATCAAAAACTAGTAAAAGAAAATGAAGAACTACAAAGACTTATAGTACAAGTAAGTGAATTCTGCCCCATTCGGATAGAGATTAAGAAGAAAAAATCGTACAAATGAATGTAAAACAATGACTACTCCGTATATCTCATATGTTTGTGTGGATGTCTCTTTTTTTTCGTTTGCAGAAAGAAGATAAAATTCGTATATTGCAACAACGTTTGCGTGAACGTGAACAAGCAAACAAAAGCAGTTCAGGTAATGTGGCAGCACAATCATCGAACGAAATTCAATTAAAAGCCGTTGCAGCAAACGCGGCCCAAGGTAAGGATGCACTCATTGTTATTCAACCAGAAGCAACAACAACATCTGATTTTGATAGTGCCATTGGTGGCGGCCTTTCGATTATAACACGTGCCAGCCAATCGGATGCTGAATTTTCCGAAAGTTACTCTTAATCTCGATCATACTAAGAATTTTAAAAACAATACTCGAACAATTCACAATCTCCCAAAGTACAAGCAACGTATTTTCTACGGTGCGAATTCTACTAGCAACGAAATACAATGATGCCACACATAAATTTCTACAACATTTTCTGTCATGAGCTTTAAGTGATTTAAGTTTAAAATCCAATTGATGTTTTTGTTTGTTGTCTAACAACCAAATTTGAAGTGAACGAATTTATTGTTTGATGTTCGTTCTTTTTTAAAACTTTCGTTTTGAATTTCCCCGAATTACTTTGAACGATTTTTAATGCATACTTCAAATGTGTCTATATTTTGACGAGAAAAAAAAAATGATGATTCGTGTAAGTAAAAACTCCTGCCAAAACAAATTTGTATCCCCCTATTAATGTGTATAAAATGTTAAGTCTAACACATTGTTTAATCTTCTATTGTTTCTAAATCTCTTCTTGTTTTATTTATAATTGTGTACATGAATTTCAATGTATTAAAACTCCCCACTCTTTCTCTCTCTCCAAAGTTGAAAGCACAAATTGAATACAAACTATATAACAACATTTCACTTCACACCCACAACCCGTTCCCAGTAAATTGAATGTCGATTTAATAGCGTTTAAGCACACGTATTCAATAATTTCCTGTACATTTTGATTGGCAAAACAAAATGTAAATTGACCGTTTGTTTTAGTGTTGTGAAAATTGTATCAGTTTCAAATTGAAATTTTTCAATCAAACCGACACAAAAGGCAGCGGAAATGATAATTGTTTCACGTCAAGCTCTTTATAGATAAGCTGATTGATTTCATTTCGATGATGATTCATTCTCATTTTATGTCTATTCACAGATTATCGCCCACAACACACATGAGAATAAAGTCAATTCTAATTAAGTATAAAACACCGATAAGTTCTAAAGAAAGATAGATACACAAACGCATTTAGTGAAATTTAGAAAAAAAATGTGAAAGAAAGCTAGGAAATGTGTCTAATGACAAACATTTTAATAAAAAAAATGTATAGAAAACCGTGATATACTTAAAATATGATTTTAATGAAAACAAATAGAGAAGGGAAAAAATATTTAAATTAATAAGCTATTGAAGAAGCTTAAGAAGGGTAAAGAAAAACAGATGTCACCCCAGAAATTTGAATTCAACTAAATACCAGCAATACACCATCAAATATACCAAATACTACCGTCACTTGCTTTCTATATAGACTGTATATTTTTTTTGAGCTTCGCGTTCCCAGCGCCATCTCTACGTGCACCTGAAAATTAGAACAAAAAGTATGTGTAGAATGTTTGTATAATGCAAAACCATGTGTTGTGCAACGTCCTCAAAGTAATTTTAATTTATTTTCCATCACAAATTCACTAGATGCAAACAATAAATCGGTTTTTGTTCAGAGCGTAGAATGACAGATGTCACAACAAATGATTCCATATTCAAACTTCGAATCAATCAATATTCTACACATACTTTTTGTTCTAATTTTCATGTGCACGTAGAGATGGCGCCATCATGCAGTTTTTGACATTATTTGCCATTGTAAGTAATGGTAGACCAAATACAATAAATTTATTGCCAAATTTATGAGTTTGGTGCACCTCAGACCTTTACATACATTTTTGGTAATTTTCAAACTCAAAAAATATTTAAATCATGCTCACGCATTTTTGATTCAAAATATACGAGAATATACTTGGCATTTTACTTTTTATTTTGTCAATTTTGTATTCAATGCGATTCAATTACATTAAAAACATACGCACAAAAAGGCAAAAAACCGCAACATAGCGAACTATATGAACTTGATTAAATTTAGAACAATTAGTGGTTTCAGAACCACAGTCATTTTAACATTTGACTCTTCCTCTCTTTCACTCACTCATTAATTTGCTCTCTCTCTCTCTCTACATAATAGTTTGCTTTGATTGTATCAATTTCGATTGGCTCGGCCACGGAAACGCAAATAAACGTCGGAATCTCTCGCTTTGCCTCTGTCTCTCAATTCAATGCTTACCAAATTAATTCCTTTTGAGTCGAAGTGTCGGTTTGATTATCTATTCGCTCATTCTCTCTCTCTCCCTCTCCTTCTCTTACTCCCGCCCTATCTTTCTCTTTGTAGTTTCTGTTTTGAACTCGATATGCATACAATTAATTGTTTCTATAGTTTTATTTGGAATTTTGTGTTTCATTCACCGGAATTATTGTTCATTTGATGTTTAGACATCTTCTTTGAAACGATAGTGAATTTCATTTCTCTTTTTCTCGCACAACACACACTGTTCACTTTCACTATTCGTCTCTGTCTCAACAAATCCCCAAACAAAGTAGAAATCTAATTTGTTTGAAAACATTGCAACTGTATACTCTTGCTCCAACGAAGACACAAAGCAACCAAACTGCAAAAAATACTTCTATTATATAAATTTTCACACTGACACACACAACATATACTACACAGTACTGAAATTTTCAAATTTTTTTCTACGGGGGGAGACACCAATAAGAAGAATCATCACAAAAAAATTGAAGTAAAATATCTCTAAAATAAATCTCTTTGCGCGTAAATGGGAAATATTTAAAATCATTTTGAATCACCAAGTTATAATTTGTGTGATACTTTGCAGTGAAGTTGACTGCCGATTTTTCCATGCAATACACATGCAATAATATAAGAAATCAAATTAAAAAATACAATGAGATTTATGAATATTGTCTCATTGTGTTTTTTTAACTTCAATACCTTTGAATCGATTCAAATCAACTCAAATCACAATGAATCATATCGTGTCTTCCCCCTAGGTTCTTTTATTTCCAAACTCCACAGGATATAATATGTTTCCGATAATGGAAATGCCGTTAAATGCATTCTCTAGTGGTGATCATCTTGTTTTACTTGAAAACCAAAACAACAACATAAAATTGAATTCGCTTTTGATTCTTCATTTGCCAGTTTGAGATAAACTGTAAGATGAATTTTATTAAGAGAAAACACACACGTACCGAAGCTAAATAAAAAAAAAATGAAGCCAATTTAGATTTAAAGTAATAAATAAATGTTATTTTCTTTTTTGAAAAATGTTCTTTTTTTCTATATGTATATGTTGAGAAAAACTCGTCAAATTGAGCCTATGGTGAATAGTAATTTAATAATTAACAATGATAAAATACAATCATAAAAAAACCTTAGAAATTGATTGAGGTGAGAATAAATTTTCATGTAAAAAGTTTTTTTTTGTAAAACCATAAAATGACTGAACATACAAAATTCATGTAAAAAACTAAATTAATTGTAGCGAATATAACAAGCGATAATTAAAATTAACTGGAATTTGATTATGGCTAAAGTATAGCAATTAGGGAATGATAGCGTATTAAGAACACATGAACATTCCGCACTCAGTTCATCAATGCAGCAAATACACTCACTGTAACACAAACACACACACACATTCACATTCACTTTCGATCACATACGACATACCAGAAAATAAACATTTTTATGAAAGGTATATATTATATGATTAAAAAATTAAATTTTGTTACCAAATGGAGCGTGTGTATGTGTCATATTCAATGGAAAAATAATGGTTACAAAACCGCGCAGTCGGATTGCGTTCAGCAACATAAATGTTTGGGGATTAACATTCCGGATGAACGAAAAATAAAACACAATTTTGCGGCATATGGAAATTTCAGCATTGAGGACATCTGACAGCATCAGAGCGAAATGTTTGATATTATATGCAAAACCACATAAACACATCTCTAAAATCAGACAAGCAAACTGAAAAATTCATATTTGGCACAAAATGACGATGATGATATTGCTGTGAAACGCGATAACGGACAGTCAGCTGCAGCAAATGAGCGATTACGTCAAAATGATAAGCCATTCAAATTTAAGAGATATACATAAAATCATGTTATATTACGTACACATATTCGATTCATGATTCAAAGGCATCATATCGTTTCGACAGCAATTGGGCCAAGTTTTATTTCGAATTTTGTGTCAAGGGAATTGTGAGTTTCATTCATGCATTATATTTGAACTTTTGCATTGTGGTTTTGATACAACACACAAACAAAAAAAAACGTATTATCATGAATTTCGATCTGAAGTTGTCACACATTATATTTTCAGTTTGAATGCAATTTCGTGTTTATAAAATCATATGCGGTATGCGAATCGAGAATTAAAATTTATATGTTATCACTGACCCGAAACAAAAATACTGAAAATATAGAAAGACCCACAGTTGACCCCTCTACCTGACAGAATTCATGTCGATAATACATTATGCAAAACAACAAATCGAAATCTATTCACGATCTATTTACATGTTTTGTTTTCATTTTGTCTGTTGATTTTTATTCGTTGCCAGAGCTCAGAGCTATTGCCTGAAGAGTCCAAGCTGTTTGAAAGTTCAAAGGTTGTGAATGCGACTTTAAACAAAACAGTGACAGTAGTTAAGCATTGAATGGAACAAATTAAGAAAAAAAATGCAATAAAAGAAAATTATTACGAACGGGAATGGTCATGTTTAGTAAAAATTGACAAAACATTTTGTCGCCTGACTTGGGACACGTATATTTTATTGGAATACTGTTACGAAAATGGGTAAAATTTTCATGTAAATATTGTGGTGGTTTCCGATGCGGATTTATGGATTGCCGATATTTGGCAGACCTCTTCATTTTTGATAATTATGTTAATAATGTTCATTTTGCGAGCTTTTTTAACCACGAATCGAGACGATGTAATTTACAAAAACAAAACAACTGATTTTCAGTTTGTCCATTCGCGCACATAAACACACACACACACAGACACAAACATCACCACAGCAGCATGCAGTAATGTCTGTCATGCCACTGGATAAAGTACATTATATATTCCAATGAGGAAAATATCATTTGCAATTGACAGATGAAGCCAAGTCTATTTTGAAAGAATAAAACAGAAGAAAAAAATTGTTGCATGTTGAATAAAGTTAGAATTATTTCACCTAGTTAGAATATTGACGTCGTCGAAAACATATACATAATTTAAAGCAAACACAACTGATAAAAATATTTGTTACCTACAACTATATGAATGTGACGACTTAAAATGCATATAGCAAATAAAATGTGTTTTAATTGAATATTAGTACGAAGTTTGTTAGACATTTGAAATTTTAATTCATACTATTAAACAACATTGTGAAATCGTATTTACTAACGGAAAACTTTTAGAAAACCAAATGTAAAATTAAAGTACACACATACACAGACACACAATCGCACACCTTCTCATGAAATGCCCGCAATTCTCTTCGATGTAATTGAAATTTCTATTAAATGGCAAACTCACAAAAATCCGTGATCCCAGGGCACACATACCGAATACACACACACACACACAAACAAAGACACTGAATGAAAAACCTTGAAACCAAATCTCTCGAGAAATATTGAAATCGTACCACCGTAGCCATTTTAGAATATGTGTGAAATGTTAGTGAATTGTATTAGATTAAATGAAAGAGTAAAAAAAACCACTGTTATGACCGAAAAGTTGGTTCTTTAACTAGAAATTGAGCATTGAAACACAAACCATCATTGAACAATGAAATTCAAATCTAACTTATGCAATGCTCTTATTCTGGTGGGAACAAAATCAACCGCCAAGTCAATGAATAATCCAAACACGATAAAATTCGATTCTATGTATTTGAATGATCGAAACTAAATGGTATTTTCATTTATAAGACACACAAAAAATAATCATCGACTTACACTTCTTTTTTTGATCATAAAAAAAATTACATCTAAGATCTTGATCGAATATTGATGAAATTTTATCAAATTTCATTTATGGAGCAATAGAATTGTGAATGATTAAGGCGGGCAACGCACTAAGACACGAGGAATGCGAACTACAATGAGAAATGGTCACAAATGAAAATAAAAAAAAATCTAAGGTTTATTGTTAAAATGATACATTTAAAAGAATAATACACGAAGACATTCATCCATTTATTGAAAACAGATAACAAAAAATAAAGAAAAGAATTATTAAAAAATAAAGTAAAATGTGTTGTTTTTTTTTTCACTTATACGCAGAAGCAAAAGCGAGCGTAATTTTTTCCATTCTGTAAGGTACAGTATCCTAAGGCACAATCAATTCAATTAACTTAAAATGAAATCAGCGCAATGGAAATTGTAAGGTAGTAAAGTTAGTTTTGGAAACTGATTCATTTGCTTCAACTTTTTTGGTAAATGCGGATAATCTTTTATGAGTACCGATAACGGAAAAAACTTATTAATTGCATGTTTTTTAAAAATCCAAAAGCATTTAGCACATAATTTCAGGCGTTTTCTATTTTCAATTAGTTTCAGGAAACGAAAAATGCAAGTGCACACATTTTTTTTGCGTTGGAGTATAAATGCATTGTGTGTAAGCGATAACATACGCGTTCTCATCGATTGGCCTTGCTAGTGCTTTTAACCTTTCAATAAAACAAGTCGTTTGGTTGTATTTCTCGTCCACTTTATTTAAAGTGGTCACGCAAAATATTGTAACAACTTTGTAGCTAACGCCGGGTAAGATTTCACCACATGAAATGCTGATTAAAAGGTAAGCGTGTTATGGCAAGGAAAAAAAAAGTTGACATCTTCCTTAGTTGGCGTGGCTGATATGCTGGCTGGCAAGTTGTTGTTATGTCAATTTCAATTTGCAAAAGAACTTTAATTTATAGTTTTGCATTGTACGTTTAATTTGCATATTCGGCATTAGCCTTCGAAGTAATAATTTTACGATAATGTACTATATTTAAGTTGTCCGTTGTGTGTATTAAATTCAATGTGAATTTAATTTGATAGATATTTGTATGCACACCAAAGCATCATCATCGCAACCGCACATATACATACACACCGGACATCGTATCTGAAACCAGCTCTGCTACCTTGTCGTGCGTGTACAAGCGAAAGTGAATCAAAAATAGTTGTGGTCTAAACAATAAACCAACAATGCGATTTGAATCAGATAAGAATTGATCGCTGTCGTGATCGGTTGACGGTTATTTTGCATCGATTCTGTCACCATTTTTAGTTGCATTCTGAAAGTTGAAACGAAAAGAAATAAAAACATAATAATCACGTAGTATTGTAGTTTGTTTTCCCAGTCAAACATGAAATACATAAAGTTCTTATTAATATTACTGTTTGCGGTGTGCATACAAAATAGTTTTTCGTCAAAGTTAGAAGAAAAATTTCGCTGGAAAGAAGTGTCGTATGCATGGCCCTCCGATTCAGCGATGGACGAAGCGATAAAAAGTGGACGATATCAACCTGAAAACAATTTACCATTGGGGCTCGAAGTTTGGAAAGACAAGCTGTTTATCACAGTACCCAGGTACGAATGTTTACATAGTTGGGGAAAATATTGTCGAAGAAAATAAAATAAAATTGAAATGTCACTTTAAAGTTATTTTACTGTCGAATTTATTCACACAAGACAAGGGAAGCTCATACCCACTTAACAAATTATAATGGACAATTGTCATATAATTAAATTTTCATTTCACAAAACATGACAAAACTTTTCGAATTTAAAAATATAGAGCCATCGTTCAAAATTTTAATTTTTCACATGGACATTTTCCACTTTTGACAAAAAAAAATAGAATTCACTTCAATGAAAATTGAGAAATGACTTCATTTTTCGTGGCATAATTATATGAATAATCAAGTATTCTATTTCTAGTGTGCTCAGGCATGAATGTCTCACTTTTAAGCTGAAAACTCTTAGCTTAATTGAATGACGCCATTGTAATGGTAATATACAGAGAAAAATACCATAACATAAGGGCCATTGTGTAATAATTATTCTAACATTTGATTATTTAAAGTTATCTGCGGCCGGGAATGAATTATTGCGTACATTTCTTGTGAAGAGAAGGTCAAATGATGATAAAATTGAAGAGGAAAGTCAATTGAAATGAATTTATTCTGCTTCGCTGTTTTTTGTTCATTATTTTACTTTTCTTTCAAATTGAAACCATAAAGTGGTTGTTGCTCTCTGATATTCATCCGAAATTGAGGCTAAGAAAAGTAAAAATAACATCAGAATTCAAGATGAGGTTTATTCCATAATAAAAACCATTTTTCTTCAAACTTAACGGATATAATTACATACCTTGCGTTCATAGAATCAAAAGTTGCGTACTTCAATTTGTTCGCTCTATTCAAATAATGAGAGAGATTTTTTTTATATGGATGAATCGTATTTTTTTCTCTACAATGTGCTTGCATTAAACCATATTTATGTACAATACGTTTGAAAGCACTTCAATTTTTCGCAAAGAGCAACAGCTGTGTGTTTCATGATAAAACTAATTGGATAAGACTGCTCTAATAAACAATGAACAAAAAGTAGTCTATTATTCAAAATTCGATTAGTATGAATGCGAGCGATATTGTGTTATTTATTTTATTTTAATTAATTTAATCAAATTAAAAATTTCTTCCGCATAAAACTTCAAAAAAACTTGATTCTTCGAAACCATTATTTTCATATCATTTTGTCATTATATATTTTTACCGTCCTTTTCACAAGCGATATATGGAAGCTATACTGATTTTTCGTTCAATTCTAATGAAATTTTATGAGCTTCGTTGATTTAATACTAATGGTACGAAATAATGGTAAAAGAAAAATAAAATCAAATGACCGTTGTGGTTTTTATATAAAACTTGTGAGAAAAAAAAACTATCCATGTGAATTCAATCGATCAATATTTCATGGAACATAAGCTAAAAATCGATGGATTCACTGCTTCACACAACGTATGATGACACTGAGTATAGAGAAGAGAAAAAAAAATGAACCAACATACTCACAATAACTTTAATGTTAGAAAGCGAACACAATACGTTACGGTTGAGTGATTGCATTTGAAGCATAGTATAGCGCGTCGGTAATCTGTGTCGGATGTGCCAACAAATGTATATAAAAGGTGCATCATTAAAGTTGACACCAGAAATCTGCAAACATTGAGCTTGTTTACATATTTTATGGTCAAATAATTTGACAGATCATTGAAATCAATGTTTCAATTCAAACCAAGTGATCTGCATGAAATTAGCACAATAGCGTACCGCTTTTTTTCGCTTCAAAAATCTCCATGTACAGCAATTAAAATGTTTTCATTTGTAAATATTTGATTGAAAAATAATAGATTTGATGTTACTGCGCGTTGGTAAATAGAAAATGTGGCAAATTGTCACGTATTATTGTCCAGCTATAAATATTATTATGGGCAATGAAAATTTAGTTTTAAAATGTTTATTATTTTATGGCATATTTGAATTTAGATGGAAGTCGGGCGTTGCGTCATCATTGAATTATATTAACATTGACAGTAAAGACTCGAGTCCGTTGTTAATACCATATCCATCGTGGACAGCAAATTCATTGGAATCTGATGGTTTTACCACCGAAACGACAGGCGGTCGAATGAGTGCACCAAAGCCAACAATTCTCGATGGCCAATTAACAGATAATTCATCTATTATTTCAACATTTCGTATTCGCGTCGATGAATGTGATCGATTGTGGGTTAATTTGTTGAAGTTTTCTGTCTATGAAATTTCATAATTTATATTTTTAGGTGGGTTATGGATACTGGATTGGCTGATATTCTTGGCAGCAACCCAAAACAAATTGCTCAACCAGCTTTGGTCATTTTTGATTTAAATACGAATAAACTAATCAAACGATACACAATTCCACCAGAACATATCAAAGATGATACATTCTTTGCGAACGTGGTATGGTACAATTGAAATTGATTCCACCGTAACTTTTGTAATAGTTCACCATATTCCATTGAAATTAGATTGTTGATGTGCCAAAGAATGGATGCGATAATGCCTATGCTTACATCCCAGACCTCGGTGCTTATGCAACTGTTGTCTACTCATTCAAATCAGATAGATCATGGCGTGTTCGACATAATTTCTTCTATTTCGATCCCATCAATGGTGACTATAATGTTGGCGGCGTTAATTTCCAATGGAAAGACGGCATTTTTGCATTGGCCCTTGGCGAACAAACAGATCAAGGGTACAATGATATGAATTTTTCATCATAAAATCAAACTTATATTTATTGAATATTTATTTCCAGAACTCGAACCGTTTATTTCCATGCATTGTCAAGTACAAAGGAATTTTCCGTTCCAAATTACATTTTACAAAATGAAACTCGCGCTTTAAGTGCCGAATCATACTTTGATTATAGTTTGGTTGGCGATCGTGGTTTAAATGGACAATCAACATCCGAATTTTTCGACGAAAAAACAAAAGTTTTGGTTTACACACAGGTTAACAAAGACGGCATTGGATGTTGGAACTCACAAAAACCATATACTCCAGACAATCAAGGAATTCTCGACAGTGATTCGGATGCGCTAGTTTTTCCAAATGACTTGAAAATCGATCGTAATGGAAATGTATGGGTTTTATCGGATCGTTTGCCGATTTTCATTTATAAAAAATTGAATCCAAACGAATACAACTATCGCATTTTAACCGGAAAAGTCGGAAATTTGATTTTAGGCACACCCTGTGAATAATACAACAATACTCAAAAAGCTTTTAATTTTGAATGCATCAAATATGCACATTCTTTCTTTTGGCATTTTGTCTTCCTATTTCATTCATTTTCATAATTTTAAATGTGTTCTTTTCTTTTCAATTGCTTCTATGATTTTTATTGAATAAAATTTAAATTGCATTTTCTTGAAAACTGAGTAAGCATCATTTGTAACGTACTTTAAAATTCCAATACGCATAAAGTACATGGCGTAATGCCTCGTTTACACCAACTGAGTATGTGCACAACAACCAGATGACAGATGTCATAAATTGCTTGAATTTGGTATGTAAACAATATAAAAACATATGTTTCATGCCGCAACAACTGTTTCAATGCTCAACTACAAACACTGGAAAAGCCGTAGGTACGAATTGGTGTTTTATGCATTTACTTGAAATGAAATATTCATTTCCGGAGGCAATGCGTATAAACTACGTTTCGGGAGATATTTGATTTCATTTGGCGAAACTATTTTATTTTATTTTAATGCAGTATCAACCTTAAATGATTTAATTGTTAAAAAACTGTCTCAAGGATATTTTTTTTTGCTTTAAGTCTGGTCTTGAATAAAAATGTTTATTCATTTAGCACGATAAAAATAGAAATGGTAATAACTAGCCGAAATAATGAAAATTCAACGTGCCGTGCAAATATTTTCAATAAAAAGTGAACCAATTTTTTTTTGGTCAAATTGAATTGAACTAAAAAAAAATTGTTAAATAAAAGTGAACCGGAAAAAAATTTCGCTCGGTTTTTTCAGTGTAAAATGAAATTTTTTTGGTTCACTTCAATTGGACAAAGAAAAAATTTGGTTCAATTTTCATTGAAAGTTTTTTTAGGTTTCGTGTTTAAACATTTTTCGAGAAGTAGTTTTCATTCTACCCCATTCAAATGTGTCGATTTTAGTGGAAAGTATTTGTACAAATCGGATTGTTTCCGGACTTTTGATTAAGAAATTAACACAGCGGTAACCAAACTATTTGCACTATTCTGTTAACAGCGGTAGTTTGATTAGATCTTGTGTAAACAAGAAAACACATATGTATGTATTTTATCATAAAACTATTGCGACAGCTGACTTAAACCTAACCTCTCATTCCACCTATGAACAACCAATGAAAAATCGTTCCACGAAGTGAATCACAAATTGCCCAAATTTTCATTCATACTACAACTACGTCGCATTTTTCTTTATCACATTGAATTTTTTCCTCACAAAATATGTGTCAAGCAGAAGCATGATGAGAGATAAAATACCTTATAAAATGTTATCTTCTTAATTTCTGATGCAATATTTGGGGCAAAGAGATGTTTTTGAAGGCCAACTATCTATTGGTACAAATTCCTTATCATAAAAATGATATCATAGATTGTTTAAATCATTTTTGAATGACGCACTTTTCTACTGACAAGTTTAGATGAAAACTGCAATAGTCGAGTTTAGCTTGTTTTTTTTTTCAACACAGCTTAAAAATGTTATGTTTTGTCACGTGGAAAAGTGCGTCATTCAAAAATAGTTGGGGTGCCAAAATATCAAGTCCAAGTGGAACTGGCTGTTTGAGAAGCGCGTGCCGTCAAAAATAACTGAAATATAGAGGTCTATTATTATACGGGTATAGAGTATGTATGCAAAACGGGAAGCATAGAATACATATGCAACCTACAACATTGAATTGCTTCCATCTCTTTTCAAACGAGAAAAAAAAGTCTTTCATTCAGACACCTTTTTTTACCTTTCGCACATCAAAGTGGGAAAAAATGCTGTGGGCGCGTTAGAATCAAATTTGTGACTTCTGCTGACAATGACACTGGAAAAGCAGATAAGCACTGTCTGCCAAATATAGATACTGTAGATGACACTGAATACAAATACGTATTGAAGCAACGAACATTTGAAAATGATATCATACGAAAATCTCATAGTTCATTAAATATTATTTGAAAGGAAACGTGCATTTTTTTGATTTTGATACTCAAATTCGTTGACAGGTTAACATTGTGAATGAAAAAAAAGTTGAACATTTGCATAACAGTATTTTTCAATTTAAAATATATTTATTTTATAAATTTGTTGATTATTACTATTGACTTTTCTTCTTATATCATAATCTATGTTCTAACGGCAATGAGTCAAGCTGTATATTATTTTTCTTTTTGTTGAACTCATAAACACCCAACTTAACCGATATAAGTAATCTATAGTAAATAAGCTTATCACTAGCACTTTTTGTTTTCAAAATCTATAAAACTACAAGGGCGAAAATTTGTTGTGTACCTATTAATGACTAGAGAGTCGTAAACTCAATTCCAAGCATTCATTATGTGTTTTATTTTTACTCTTCCCCGTCGTCTTCTTGTTCGGCCATTGTTTCCAAGAATCCAGTTCTAACTCCTTGTTTTGGCGAACACAAACATGTATTGCTAATTTTATTATGAATCCATGGCAAAAAGTTTGTAACTTTCGTGTAAATTCCAGGTAATTTTGGTCGTGCACAGCCTGCAAAGAAGACAAATTCGAGATTGAGGATATTTTCAAATTAAGAAAAAAAAATAATTCTTACCTCTGCCCCACGATACAACGCCAATAACTTCTATGCTTCCAGTTTCGCCCTCATAATTCATTGGACCACCAGAATCGCCCTATAAATAAATGTGTGTGTGTTAATTAATAACGAAAATTATAAAATATCTTTGTATTTTGTAAATTTAGGAAATCTTCAAAGCTTGCCTGGCACGCATCTTTGCCTCCCTTATTGAAGCCGGCGCACATCATATTACCCGTCAGACGTTTATTACCATAGTCTGATGCATCACATTCTTCTTTCGACCAAATTGGAACGATTACTTGACGTAAATGGTCAGATGTTGGAGTTTGTTCACCTGATTAACACATAATTTTGTATTAAAAAAAAAACACTTCAAATAAAACTGTATATTTCATACCTAAACGACCCCATCCAGCCAAAAACGCATTTCTTCCAGAGTAATCTTCGAATTGTGTTTGTGGCAGGCAGACAGGTTGAATTTTTGGTCCAAATTGTACTGGTTTAATCAACTCCAATATAGCAATGTCAAAATCAAATGAAACTGTATCGAAATATTCATGTTCATAAATACGACCAACACGACGTGTTTCAACATAATCGTTTGAAATATTATGACCGCCTAGATATACTTTGATTTCTTTTCTTTCAAATGAATGCACACAATGAGCCGCGGTCAGAATATGTTTTTCGGAAATTAAAGCACCGCCACAATACAAACGACCATTTCGATACAATGCCACCATCCAGGGGTATTCATTTGCAGACGTCTCACTTCCACCAACTATACGATTAGTCCGGCCACGAACTCCACAAACTATTCAAGTTCAAAATGAATAAAATCCATTAATTTAACAATATTTTCTTTTGTTTATCGTTATTAAATTTGTTTGACGAAAGAAGTTAAACAAGTTTTGTGGGCACATCGAAATTTGTTTACATTTTTCTTTATCTTTATGAAAGTCAAAAAGTATTATTAGGAAACAGTAACGTGAATCAATATCAAGTACAAGGTGAATGACATTTTTAAATTTCACATCAACTAACAAAATTACATATTTTGAAATCATCCGAATATTTTGCACTAATTTTTCAATGCACTTTATTTCATCACTCTCATGTTCGTAATGGAAATTATTAATCGATGAAACTGATTTTTAAAATAAATTCACAAAAAAAATATTGAAATAATATTAAACTTGCTCTTGCTATCACTAATTATTGATGTATAATGTATTCAAATAATGGATCGAATAAATAAATTCATTTACCGCAATCGCATGATTTTCCAGCCGCAGGCATTGCAGATGCGCAGCCAAATATGATTGCCAATATTAATAAATGATACATATTTTTGATTGCAAACCAAGCTGTTTTTTTCTCGGAAAACAAGTCAATAATTTTAACCGACTGATTGTGTTTGATCTCTTAATTGTTGTGTTTTATTTTGTTTGTTGGACCACACAAAAATTGCACAGTATTCTTTTTGAAAATTGAACGCTGCAAATGTCAACAAGACTTTTAATTTTCAACTGAAATTCACTGTATGTTTTCACTTCGATGGCTGTGCAATGTGTGATGATTTGGAGCAAAATTGATTCGAATTTATACACAATTGAAAAATGCCGCACATAGTCTTCGTCGCCAAATCAGTGTACTATGAATTCGGTTGTAGCATTGAACAAATAGAGATACAGCGCGCACAATTCATCATAAATTGCGATGTAAAGAGAATTTAAGCTAAACCAATAGAGGAAAATAACATTGCTTCTTATCAATTTTGCTTGTCGCACGCGCTTACACTATATTTTGTGCACGTTTTTACACTCATATACGAATTGGTTTTGGATATAGTATATTGGTCGATGTCGGCTGTAACTCCATATATTTTTTGCTATGTTTTTTTTTTTCGACAGACAACAGATTGAAAATGTAAACGATCGTCGCGGCGACAAAACAATAACAATTTTGTGTTAACAAAGAGTAATTATTTAAATGTGATACTGATAACACCAACAGAACTAGGTGTAACAAATGTGACACACTAAAAAAAATATTATTGAATGGAATCGACATTTGGCTTAATTTCAGTCTGTTTCTCTTTCCTTCTCACTCACTCTCGCTCGCCGACGTTGCTAATTCTCTCCCACCGTACACCGAACAGCAATGTCCAAATTGCACATTTCGAGCAGTAGTAGGGGCTTGGCCTTGGCTATTTGTGACACACATCATGATAACAATTAACAAATAAATACATTTTATGTTATGAACAATAACTTCCAACTTGGTGATTCTTACCATATGGTATGGTCATCATAAAAATGATTAATAAAATACGATGTTTTATTTTGTCAACATAACAGTACGGAAACCAGTTTTTCGTTATGCATTGAGCAAATTACAGGTCAAACCATTTTTATAAAAATTCGGTGCAACACATAATAGTACAAGTTACCGGTCAATGCAGATTAATAAATTTTAAATCGTATCTAAGTTTCATTCTGGGCAACATTAGACGTCATCGTTTACCGTTTAGTTATCGGCTTGAATATGTGTCAAGTGGTAGCCTGAAAAGATAAAATTGATTTTGCTTTCAAAAAAACTTATCATTTTTCGATGCCGAATATCTAGAGCAAGAGATGATTTTGAAGGCTAACTATTGTTATCAATGTAAACAAAGGTAATGAAATAGTTTTTTTTTAATTATGGCATTCGGCATCAGATTGAACGATCGAAACTGCATTTTGTACTTGAAATTCGTAATCTCAATTGAACATCAGACATTTTCGTTTAGAGGTAAAGCCTCGCGACATCATGAACCAATATCAAATCTGAATGGCACCAGCTTTTGAAGCTCTATTGAGAGATGCATACACTGCTAAAAATGGCATGAATTGATCTAAATATAAAGGCTTTCCATTCTGCGGGTTCTGCTCTATTCCATTGAAACATGAGGCACGCATGCAGCGTAGCCGTTTTTTTTTTGAATTACCAATTTCACGTGTCATCGAAGCACGTTGTCATATGTGAACTAGGTGACAAAAGAGGTGTTCGGAGTGTCACGACTGATTAGTAGTAAAGGTAATGACTTTTGGTGACAATGACATTGGCAAATAAGATAAGCGTACACATTTCGAACGCATCAATTGCCAAAAATACGTGATGTCATTGAAACTGTATATTATACAGTAAAAAAATTCCGAAAAATTCACTTTTTTCAATGATTTACAACGAGAGAGTTCATTTAACCACAAAATTTCCCAAATACAACAATCAAATCTATGAATGCAATAATATAAATTATTTTCATTTTTCAGTTCTAAATGTTTGCTCTGAATATATGTCACTGCCAACATTCACATTTTTATGATTGATAATGAAAGTGAAATCATTATGAAAATTACGTGTGCAACGAATGCACAGATTCAATTTAAATGCAATTTTGACATTGACAGTACATACATTTTCAACTATAGTCGCCCTTTGATTTTGTGTCAACTTTGATAACAAATGCATTACGAATTGATCATACTTCTCCAAAATACAGGTTAAATGATTGATTTTGAGAATTTACATTGTGCTTTCGAAATAAATGCAATTTTTTGGGGTCAGTAGATCAAGTTTGATTATACACACATTTTATACCATCATTACATTCCCGAAATTTTATCAGTGAGTATTATAAGTAATATCAATGTCGGGACAGAAAATGACAATGAATAATAAAGTGCAATATAGAACAATACCAATCAACTATTGGTCTTTCAATAACCGAAAATTTCTCTTCTCTCAAAAATTATTAAATGGATCCAAAACGATATTCAATCTTCATTAAGGGGTAATGCCAGATTGACATCTGGCGTAGGCGATTTATTAATGCATTGGGCTCCTGTTTATAAGTTATGTACAAATAATTCTACAATCTCTTTGTTAAACCGACACAGAATGAAGTCACCTTCTGCTGTGGTTTATCATCTAAAAAATCATGAATATCACAAAGAGGCATGCATTTAATTATTTTATTGTTTTTTTTTGAATTTCATTTCAGTGTTGTTAACAGTTTTGAACTAAAAGAAATATATATATATTCTTGAATTCACCGTCATTATGTTTTTGTTTCACGCGAAAAATTCAACTTAAATCCAACGGTTTATTCATCAAACAAATCAAACGATGAAATTTACTTCATTTAAATGAATGTTTACGCATTGAATTTGTAGATGGTGAAAAGAGAAAGAACTTTGAAAAGCTCTTCAAAAGACTTTAGTACCACTTCCAGTAACTCCATCTATGCCTATGTACTAAAGTTGATAAAAAATTGGATATGAAAAATTGTAATTATCGTTAAAACGTTTGAATCTATACACAAAGAGATTTAATAACAACAGTATTTTATTTTCTTTCATTCAAAGGTAAAAAATTCGAAAATCTTCAGCAAACTTTAGAAAAAAAAAATTAAAATAAAAAATAGCGGAAAATACATCGAAAAAAGCATGCAATGCTCGATGAGCTCTAAATGGCATGCGCAAAAAGAGATGACAGTGTAATTGTTATCAGCTGTTTGAGTTTTAAATGACATTTTTAGAAGAGGATAGGCCTAAATATATATGCCTATAAAGGTATAAAAAAGCAAACCGAATTTCCAAACCTTGACCTTTTTGCACTATTTAACACCTAATATATCTCTTTTAATTATTGCAAGCTGCCCCTCCTCTCGTCACCGTTTATCGAAAATTTGACAATCATTTCAAACCGATAATTCATTTTATGCAAAACATAAAAACGATAAAAATCAAATTAGCAGCCCAAAAATCCCGCTCTGTTTCTTTCTCTGTCTGTCATTATTAAAAACCATTTGCGGCACATGCAAACACACGAACAAAAATGTGTCCAAGTGTTTGTTATGTCATATGAGCGGCGATGTCGTCATGTAAATTGAGTATAAATTTCTCCATGGGATATCATTATAAGCAATAACATACTATAGTATCCTATAGGACTATATAGCATTGTAGCAGCGTGCGACACACACATATACATACACACGCTTGCACACATCCAGTCGATGGGAAAACGAATTTTGCCAGTCAAACTTTTCACACAGCAAGTAACGTGCACTCAGTCGCCAAACGTAAGCAATGGCGGGTCGTTCCTTTCTGTTTTTGCTGCGTATTTTCCAAGCGAGAAGATTTTCTGCAAAATGAAAATGACTGACCGTGTGTTTGTTAAAAGTTAAAACAAAATTTCTATATTAATTGAAAATTCGCAAATAAATTTTGATAGAAAAAGTGAAAATATAAATCAAATATTCAATTAGTTTCAATAAGAAAAATTTTTGTGGAATAAATACGATATTGATTTTTTCTTTTCTTCGCATATTCTTCATGGACAGCTTGTAAATGTACCAAACAAAAGTAAATTGTTGAATTTTTCGAATACTTTGGATTTAGTGTTGCTCATGATTTGTGTTAATAATCAATTGTTATGACGAAGAAAAATGAACTGCTCTGAAAATATACTAAGTAGGAAAAAAAATATCATGTCATGTCACACATCAATATACTTGTGTGTAACTAAACAAATTTACGTTATGTAAGCGGTGCAAAGGCGGCTCCAGTTAATCAAAAACTATTTCAAAAATTTGTATCGCCAAGTTTTCCTTTTCTTTAATTATTTTTGGCAATCATACATTTCTGTGTAACCAGTTTATTGTTCCATTTAGAATAATTGAAAGAAAAAACATGAACATTTTTCGTCATTCAATTAGTGTGAACGACACGATACATTTAAATGAATGAATAGTGAAGAGACACATAATCTCTAGAGAAAATTTTTGTATCGCAGACAAAACTCAATTTTTCTGCAGTCAATTTAAATTTAAGCAGCAGCAGCAGCAGCAGGAGCCGTAGTAGCAGTGGCAGATATCACACTAACACATTTGGCGAACTTCAAGGTACCCAATTATTGATTTAATGGTAGAAGAAGAACACACAAAAAAAATACACAACGTTTCGATCCACCGAAAAGAAGAAATGTATGCAATACGTTACACTCCATCAGATTGTATCAGTTTTGGATTGTATGTTGTTACTATATACTGGGTGAAAATGAGTTTGAATGTTATACCGTGAGTTTGTGTGGCATTTAATGTCGTTTCCATTCATTGATTTTTGTGATAATTTTCTTAGTTTTTTCGCGCTAACAAACATCAAAAATAGCAAAAAGTGAAACGAAAACTTAAGAAGTTTCTAAGTAGTTGTTCATAATTCGACGTAACTGGAGCAAAAATTGATGAATATTAATTAACTGTATGACTCCCGCCACAACGGACTTATGTAGCTTTAAATTTTCCATCATTTTTTTTTTGTTGTTCTAAGTTGGCTATTCGAAGCCCAAAAGATGAATTTCTTTTTTCATCCCGTTTGCTTTTCATATTTGGTATGTGCGTCATGTGAATTTTATCCTACTTACCACACTGTTGACGATGATAAACTGTCATCAAAGCAAGAAGTTTTATACATTCATAAAACCACTGTCAATCTGAATTTACGTATATACGCAGTAAAATATAAGGTTGCGTCGCATGGCATTGAGCGCGCGTGCAAAACCATTTCGGCAGAATCCACGAAAAGAAAAAAGGAAATCACTCAAAAATAATTTGTGTGTTTTATATTTATGATTTGAACATATTTGGCATCAAATGCGCTTAAATCCCAGACAAGTCTTTTGCTATATCGATTATTTGTACAGCAAATAATTGAACAACCTTTTTCCAACTCCTTAAAATAATACCATCATCGCTGTTTTCATTTCGTATTCTGTTCGTTTTAATTTTTGTTGCTTTTTGTCATTCACTCATTCACAAAATGAGTTTTTGACTGGCAAGTGTTCATGTTCCAAATTATTAAAGCAAAGTTTGCATGCAATAACAGATTAAATTATATGACGGATTGTTATTTGTTGTTGAATTTGAATTCGAATTTATTATGAATGCTTGAGTAAATTTTCACCATCTAGCAAATAAAGTTAAAAAAAAAATTCGTCCACACAAAAGAGACACATACTTGAACACGCTGCTCTCAAGCAACCTTGAAATTGTATGCAGACTGTTTTCCGCTGGTATTTGACATTTTTTTCGCTGCTGCTTGCTGCTACTTCTGTTTCGCCATAAATGAGTTCTATTTTCTTTTTTTTCGCTCTCGCTGTGCACATTTCTAATTTCTAATTAATTAGAATTCAAATGTGGATAAGAAAAAAGACTGAAACACGATGAAAATATGCTTTACATTTCTTTATGGCATTAAGTATTCAATTAACTTGTGTAAAATCGATTTGTTTGCGCTAAAAAGGATGGTGCTCTAAAAACGGCACCTTTGTCTTTGTTTTTCTCTCAGAAACAATTTATTTCCATTTCGAAGCCATTCAAAACATGTAGTTTCAAATAAAAAGAATGTGCAACGTGGAAATGCAAATAACATGTACTCTGACCGTGGCATAACATGTTCGTTCATTCTCTATTTCTCTTTCTTTTGCTGCGCAAGCAGCAGCCAATCGAATTTATGTCTAAGAGCGATTGAAAAAACGGAAGTATGCACTCGACTGGAAAACAATACGTTTCAACTAGCCGCATAAATAGAAGTTTGTTTGTTTTTTTTTGGTATTATTCCAAACCATTCTGTTCTTCCATCAAATTTCACCCTTGACATTAATGCTGTGTGCACAGATTCCAATACCAATACCAACATGCAAAAGTATTGTATAATGTACCACAAAATATAAAACACATTTTCCAAATGGAATGAATGTGTTGCCATAACGAGAACCAATTATGAAATCGAATTGAGAACAAGTTCATATTTGACATTTGAATAGAATGAAAGAGAAAAATTTCCAACATAACCTCGTGCCAACCCGATTTTTTCCTTTTTCGACTCAATTGTTAAAAATTCGGTTGACTTTAATGATGACCATGATGAGACCGAGTGCTATGGCCGGAAAAATTTGTGTCAAAGACGTTTATTAAGTCATATCAAATTTCGGCCATTTTTCATCCCACAAAAACCCCATAGTCGAGTGAGGAAAGTGACAAGTGTGTTGATAGGCTCAATGACATAGACTGAATGTGATATCTCATTAATGATAGAATTGATTTCATTGGCGCTTCGATTAGAATGTTATGAATTTTTCGGTAAATAGAATGAAAGTATATTTTCAGTTACAAATCCAATTAAGTTTATTGACCCATAAGTTAATTTCGATTGTTTGTTGAAGATTTTCGGATTTTATTCTTTAATCAACGTTATTTGCATTCATAAAGATGGACTATTAAGAATTGACTTGGAAACAATGGGATGCATAATGGGTGTTTGGTGATAGAACATAAACAATTTCGCACAGACAAATTATGCGAGAGCACATCGACAATGACGACATACCGACCCAACAACAAAACCGATCACGGTACTGATGGCACAACTGTGAACGCCACATCGACGTAATGAATACAAAATATATTTGCATATATGCATGTTCTATAGTCTGCGCATTTGGTTTCAATATTCAATATCCAGTGGGATCGACAGTAGTCTTTTAGACTTGATTCGGTATAGTCGTCAATTTATTCCTTCCGTCATTTTAAAAATTATTGCTCGTAATTTTGAGCGAATGTATTGGTCGCCTTGCAAGCTAATTTCGAGCAAATAACAAATGGTTTATGGAGTACGAAATTTTATGATGTACCGAAAATATATCAGCTTCAAAACACTTCAATGTGAACTATAAATAAAATCGAAGTATATTCAGAGAAAATGTATGTAATGTTTATTTGTAAATTTCGACAGCTTTTCAATTTGTGTAAATGTGAAAATGTTGTCTATTCCCAAAGTAGACAAGAATATTTTGCAATGGCAGTGAGACATCTGTAAGTCGTTATTTTCAATTTTACGAAATTTCCATGCTACGGAACAATGCTGAATTCTATTGAATTTTAAAGCATGCACATGCAGTGAATTACACACCATTGAAAATGCAATTTTCCCCAAGTGTTACACAAAGTATTGAGTTTTATGTTTGAAAAATTGTGCATGTGCGTAACGATAGTGTGGTGATAGTGCTTAAGTATATAGTAAAATCTCAGTTATCTGCAATAAACTATCGACTATTTGATGTACTGTATGTTATGCAGAAATTATTTTCGTTACTGAGCTGCTCCGTATGTACAGCATAGTACTTTGTATTTAATCTGGCTATTTTGGTATTTTGTTTCGATGGCGCTGTTAGATCAAGACCTCGAAATTTGTTGCTAAATGAGTTTAACCACTTTTTTTCTCTCAGCTGATCCTTTATTCGTTTAAGAACATTTCTGTGCATAAAAAGCGAAATTCAATCTTTTGCCGAAGGGTAAAGAACTATATGTATATCTGTGTTATTATCGTAGTTTTTTTACTTGACATTTATATAGAATTTGTCATTTGATTTACGCGAAGGGTAGATTTTCGACACACACACACACACAGGCTCACACCCATACAGTTTTGTATTTTACTTCTTGTAACCCATAACAATTGTATTGTTCGCAGTAAAAACTCGCTTCTATGATTTTACTTTTACCCCTATAATTTTTTACGAATGTAACAATCTAACTACCAATTTACTTTCAAACAATTTTTTTTTCTCTTATTCCATAACAATAATTCGCTGCAGCTGATGTTTTCTTTTTTTCGAAGGTTTTTTTGACTGGATTGACAACTAACGACGTTGTGCAAAAATGTTGTCCGTTGCAAAAATCAATCAGCTGAGTTACTCTACCTTTAGCAAAATACAAACGTAAACCGTTTCTTTTGAAACGCGTTCCCTACAATAATAAATATTTGTTTTGCCGAATCGATCAATATTTAATTGATGGACAGAGTGCTACATTGACATACTTCATGCTTGAATAGACTAAGAAGGTTAGCACAATATCGCAAGATTCATCAATAGACTGGAACACAAGCGAAATTTTACACGGTTTTCCACTTATTTAGAATACTTGAGTTTTCGGTGTACCGACATTGTTCTAATGGTGAAAGCATTGATACAAACATACCCAGAACATATTATATGTGTATCTTTTGATGAACCTATATTGACGAATGAGCGACAAATATTATGTCGTCTGTTTCTCGTCCTATTCTTCTTAGGTAGTTTTTCTTTGCTTTATTGAGACAACTAAAAGCAATTTATCGTAAATCGTTCGGCGATAAAAAGCGTATTCGAATCACTGCCTCTGACGAATGGGGTGTAGCTCAGATGATTCTGTTACCAATGACATCATATTTCGATTTATTTCTTTTATCATGTTACTTTAATTACTTTCTGGATTGGATTTTTGTCCGATGCGCTATCATTTGCTCTACAAACACACTTCCGTCCGATGTTATAATAAAGAAATTGCGCCTGTCAATTTCTTCGTTTTCTGCTTCTATTGCTGTTTTTCTCCATTTTCATATCATTTTCATCAACTTGACTTTTAATAGCTTTTCACATTTTATCAGACATTATATTTAGCTGCCGTCATCTGGATATTACAGCTCATCTGGATATCGTCAGCAGATGATACGAAGTGAAAACAATAGAAGTGATTGTTATAGGTATATAAGCTTGTTATATACTGGTATTACCATAACAATCACTTCTATTGTTTTCAATTCGTATCATCTGCTGACGGCATCCAGATGAGCTGAAATATCCAGATGACGGCAGCTAAATATATTGTCTGCATTTTATTCATCGTAAAGCAGAAATCCTTTGAAAAGGAAGGAAAGCGGACTCTTTATTTATTAAATAGATTTTGTTTGTTTAACGTTGATGACATATTTGAAATAAATATTTCGATCATGGCGAAATGACGACGCCTTTTTCTCAATATCGCGCGCGATACACAATAGAACAAAAAAAGAGGAAATATATAAGTAAAATCAATTCTATAACGGCGTCTGAATTTGTGTGTGCTGTGTAAGTAGAACATAAAAACCGTTGATTCGTTACACATGCCAGAAATGGCAACTCATTACACTCGATTTACTTTGTGCTTTACATCGTTTACTATAAATACTCTATGAGAAAAAAGCGCAGCAACGGTTTAAATGTTTGCACACGTGCGCTTTTAGTGTCGATACAGAACATGCGATGTTCAAATTGCGTAGCAAGCGTAAAACTATGCGTAAAACTGTTTAAATTGACAGATTTTGTCGGTGGTTTTTTTTTCTCTTTTGTTACTAAAGCAATTTGAACAAGTAAATGGAAACATTTTAGATGTAAGACACACACACACGACAACGGAGCAGTTATTGAAAATGTCAGAGTTTTCAATTTCAATCCCACGAGAGAATCAACATTAAAGTGACATCTGAAAATTACTCTGAATCCATTTTCCATGCATTTCTCATTTTGAGTAAGAACGATGTGTACGGCATGCTCCAAATGAAACTAATACATAATGTAAATATTCACACTTTGATTACGTTTCACAATTTTAAACATCAGAAAATTGGAAAATGCCAGGCAATTCAGGATTGTTATTCACTTTCTTCTTCTTTCATTAAAACGTGAAAAAAAAAAAAATAAGGCGAACGAAGGCTAAAGTGAAGTTTAAAAACGAATTTTCAAAACATTCCAATAAAATGATGGAAAAAAATCCATGTGTTGAGGTGGCACATAGAAGTGTTTCGCAATTTACTGAGCTGCCTGCCTTAATTCAAGAGCGCACCCACAGTCATGAATAAGTAGAAATGCTTGCGAGCGCTAAAATGCATACATGTGCTTGGCTTGTGGGTGTCCCTAATTGATTTTCACAGCGATGGAATATATTGTGCAGCTTCATGTTCAAGACAAACATAATTTTGAATCGTTCACATCGTATCATAAATGTAAGCTCTGAAATTTCACTTTAATAAATACTGAGGTCTTTTGTATCTTCATTAAAACAATAGCTTTTACTGTAGTACAATCCATTTTCATAATATTCAACATGACGATCGAGTCAAAAAGGGATTTACGGAGAAGTGTTTTATTTTTATTTTTATTTTCAACGTTGTTATGAACGATAAGCAATTCAATTCGTTGGATTTTGAATTTTTTTCATTTTTGTACGGGCTTCACATTAATCTCAATAACTGCTTCAAATTATGTAACACGGTTTATTTCTTTTGTTCGAAATGATGAACGCCGCATACTTCTTTGCATCAGCTAATTAATTGAGATGAAACATAAAAAAAGTTGACAAACGGTAAATAAATTGCCATTGAGTTGAAATCAAATCAAAGCACAACGGTACATTGTGCCCATGTAATTCTTAATAACGTCGCAGCAGTCGTATAGCAACGCATCAATGACAAAAACAACATCAACAGTATTAAACATATCAAAAGAAACATTATTTCCTCGGCATTTATATTAATTTATCCGTTTTATATGACGACAATGTTCTCCGAAATAAATGAATGCGAAATGAAGATATTGCCAAATGCTATTTCAAATGATAATTCAGAAGAGCAGATGGCTTATTCTAGATGCTTTGACCATTTGGGGAGAGAATGGGTGTGTGATTCATGTCTGTTATCTGTTTTTCTACACGAGGTCGAAGTAGGTTTCATACATTTTACGTAAAATGTACGTCAGCTATGGGAATATACAATAAGAGATTGTCTGCTGCATTCATATCAATCGAAATATATTTTTATCACATTTTCTGTAGAATTTTTTGGTTTTTGTCTTGTCTCGCTGTGTAATCGCTGTTTTTGATTTATTGAATTGCAAATTGCAAAATGAGACGTCTGAAAACCAATTCGGCTATGACGCAATCGAATAAAAAAAATGTTTTTCTCGTTCTCCTTTCAGATAAATCGTGCGCATTTCACACTATCAAAAGGTGTTGCATCGACGTACTTCGTTATTCCGTACCAATTTTTATCAACAACAACACTAACAACAATAAAGCTCGCTATGCCAAAATAAAAATCGATAAAAACGGCACATGGAAAACATGTATTGTCTGTTATGAAGGAAACATTAATCGCCACAATAATCAACATCAGGAGAAACGGTGCACAGACGGTGCATCTCACTCATCAGAAATCAGAAAACAAACTGACGTCATTGAATTAAGAAAGGAGTAACATTCATTTTGTTGTTTGAGAGGAAAATATTTCAACTGCACCCTCGCGTGTCCTTCTTTTCATCTATCTTGTTATTTCTCCGTTATTTCACTAGCATGAGATGAAGAAATAACGATGCCATTAGAATTGGCGCCGTTCAACTATATCGAGTCTGGCCACATGCATAAATCTCTTGTTACACTTGAATGTGAATTATTATCGGTGACTTTGAAACAAAAAAAAGTCATTATTTTCACTCCGCATTTAGTATAAATAGTGCAAAATTGCGGTTGTAAAATGTGTTCTAGTTTTTGCTGAAACAAACCGCAGAAAACGGGAGCAATAAAATAATCATTGAACTTTTTTTTAGCTCAACTCAGTTCCGTTTAAATTGGGTTTTTGTGCATTTAACGCGTTCCAACCAATTAAATTGTTGATTCCATTAGTGCGATAAGTAGCTTTGTCAACATAAACATTTTCGTCAAATAACTACAAAAGAAAATGATTAAAAGTTGGAGAATAGCAGATGAATAGTTTGATTACCGTTAGCAATTTAATTGATTTTCCCTTGATTCTTAATAATAAATCGTGCTATTTAAAAAAAAGTCAATTGGTGCGCGACAGTGACGACAATGTCTAAGCACTCGCTGGATTATAATGCATCGCATGCAAATGAACTGCATTTAATAGTCAGTTAAATCGATTAAAAATATGACAAAGTTAAATAATTTAATACGAGCAACAAGTGAATATTTATCTATCATCATTAGTGAAACGTGCATAGTGCATTCAATTCAAAATCCTTCTATATTTACAATATTATTCGATTTAAATTGAAACATTTATCATCCACATGTGGCGATCGGCAAGATTAATTGCATCGACACAGAAATCAAATTGAAAATGTTGCTGTTGCTAACAAATGCATCAACGGATGAACAACATACAAAAACGCATAAGCTTAATTCGAAAGTCATCGAGTTTACGTACGCAAATACGTTAAAGAATAAAATAAACTGCCAGTCTGAAAACGATGTGGAAAACTTCGGCCTTCTCCGAAATAACAATGGAAAAACGATTTCAATTAATTTTAAACAAACGAAAATGCATCACAATGCAACCATTCTTAATCAAGTGCAACAATGCGACTACCAAAACAACAATAACAAAAATCATTTAGAAAACTTCGACCACTTAACACCAGAATATTTACAACAACAACAAGAACAGCAAGAACTCCACGTCATCAGGCGATCCAACATGAAAATCCGACATTCGAGTAAAATGCAATTAATCGGTGTAATATTGTCGTATTTACTGGTGTGTAGCATTCAAAGTGCTACAGCAAGGCCAAATGTCGACCGTAATTATGACGATTCAACATCTAATTGGCAAAGTGTGGCTCTCACTTCAGAAAATAAAGTAAGTTAAACTTTTTGCTTTTTTTTCTATGCCATCTCTTAGGCTCTCCCTATATTACGAGCAGAGGATAAAATATGCAAACTGCTTCACATTTTAAATGATGATGTAGTCAAATGAAAATGAAAATTATCTCTAATTACAAACTTGTGTAAGAAATAAGCCAATGGAAAATTCATGAAAACACGTTGAAAATATCATCGATCCGCTCGACACCATCAAGTGTATAAATTTTTTGAAAAATAATTTTCATTCCAGTGATGATACGGTATAAATTTCATATTGCGTCTAGACTCAATTCATCTAGAAAAAGTCAACAACATTTTGTCGATTCACACAACGCAATAAACTTGAATTCGTTTTCAAAGAATCGCCTGAAATCGATTGCGTGTGCTGAAAAGTTTGAGCATCATTATTCTAATTCTATGGAAATCTTCATAGGCTTTGGCACGCAAACCCACAAGTTCAAGTGAAAAACATTCCAAAAAAGAATATTCTCGTCTTTTTCACTTCAATTACATTCTTAGGTAGCGCATTCAATTGAAGTAGCTCTTATTAAGTTGGTACACCAAAGATTTTAATTCAGTCAATATTCTTTGCAACATCAATTTATACTTTTTCGAACATTTGACGATGCCCACTTGAGATACTTAAGCGGCATAAACGATTCAAGTGCATTGAACAAACTTATAAATACCCAAGATAATCTTTTTCTACACTTTGAACAATAAATTTTGAAAAAAAAAATATTATGTAGCAAAATTATGAGTACACAGCCAAGATACATAAGATATATTTCATACCGTAGACGTGCAAACATTGACTCAATGTAATCTGTCGTAGCTTTCGAATTTCTTTTATTTTATAACTGAATAAATCTAGCGGAATCACAACCAACTGATTAAATTAATCCAAAAACAAGAATAAATTCAGCTCTTTTCTAGGTTCTTTTCGTTGAAATTGTTTAATTTTAGAAAATATTGAAGTTGATACAGATATTAAGTTTATCGATAAACTTTAAAAAAAAACAATATTTACTCAAATAGTTGAAATATTCTTGAGCACAAGTAAATTATAGAAGAGAATAGCCCGTAATCTTTTATCCGATACTTAACCAATTAACAATAAAAATAAACAATCCATAGTAAATGTTGACAATGGTTAGAACTTTTATTGACACGCTTGTCCGGTGATTAGCTGAAATTACTTTCTATCGTTGACGCATGACTTGGCATTAATGAAAAGTATTACTCGTCGAATGTTTACCGAACCAAAAACACACAAATTCAATATATTGAAAATGTTAATGGATTCAAAATCGATAAGAAAATTGCTTGGATTATGTTTGTAAATAAAATGTATATTTTTAGTTGGTATCATCAAATGATGGGGAGGCGCCGTCCGGTTTTACAAAGGTCGAAAATGAGCCGCTCGATCCAGATTCGATGGTTGATCCGAGGAGCTTTCTATATGCAGCCATATCAAAAAATGAATCCACCGAAACAACCGTCGACGATAATGATCACAGTATCGGAACACCGTTTATCATTGCCATTTGGATTTTATCCGCTAGTATTGCAAAAATAGGATTCCATAAAACGCCAAAACTCAATCAAATTTTCCCCGAATCCTGTCTTTTAATTGTGCTTGGTGTGTTTATTGGTGTTTTACTTCGTTATGGCACGAGATTATACGTATCACCATTGACACCAAACACATTCTTCTTGTATATGTTGCCGCCAATCATTTTCGATGCCGGCTATTTCATGCCTAATCGACTATTTTTCGATCATTTGGGCACAATTTTACTAATGGCTGTGGTCGGAACAATATTCAATATATTTACCATTGGTAAGCAAATACACGTGCTTAAATTGAGACCATCCTATTAAATGTTTGTTGTGTGTGGTTTTTTTTTTAAATAGGTTCTTCCTTGTATGCGTGCAATTTAATCAATTTATTTGGCAAACAAATACCCGTGCTCGACATCTTTCTATTTTCATCGTTGATAGCTGCGGTTGATCCGGTTGCCGTTCTGGCTGTTTTCGAAGAAATTCATGTGAATGAAATTCTCTACATTGTTGTTTTCGGCGAATCATTATTGAATGATGCCGTTACGGTATGTTGAATACAATTTAAATTTTGTTTTTATTCGATTTGTGAACATTCTTTTCGTTATCCATATAGAGCTCAAGTAAGATTGATTGAGTGGTCTTTATTGAATGTGCGATTGAATTTTTTCAACAGGTTGTTTTGTACCATATGTGTGAAACGTACAGAGAAAAAGGCATCGATCGAATAGGCATCATGGATTTTGGCACGGGAACGATGAATTTTCTATTAGTCGCTGTGGGTGGAACAATAATTGGTCCGTTCAATAAATATTGACTTTTCCATTTTCAATTATGTAAAACGCCATTTTTGTTTGTGTTTTCATGTATTTCAGGTGTTGTATGGGGCTTCATGACTGGGCTGGTGACACGTTTTACTGAGAACGTGCGAGTGATTGAACCAATTTTCATTTTTGTCATGGCATATCTGGCCTATTTGAATGCCGAAATGCTACACTTGAGTGGGATATTATCGTAAGTACATGTCACTTGAGCTACGCTCTTTATTCACTGTCTCTCTTTTTCTATCGTTGAAAATGTCCAACATTCTACCATCACTTGAGAATTTAGCATCGCAACCATAGACATTTGATGACAATACACATTTCTATGGTTTAACACGTCATTTCATCTTTTCTTGTTTCCACTTGATTTTTGAAGTTTTCATTGATTTAATGTGTTTTTTTATTCTTCTTCTCACAAATAGAATCACATTTTGCGGCATCACGATGAAAAACTATGTGGAATCGAATGTTTCGCAAAAATCGCATACAACCATAAAATACGCTTTGAAAATGATGTCAAGCTCGTCTGAAACGATTATTTTCATGTTTCTGGGAGTTGCCACTGTAAATAATCGACATGATTGGAATACCTGCTTCATAGTGTTGACGATTATTTTCTGTTCTGTATATCGCACCATAGGTAAATTTCATTTCAATCAATTTCAATTTATTTGATTTCAAATCGATTTGACAATTTTGTTAATATTTTTGTGCTAATTTAATAAATGTTCATTCTTACCAATTTGTGATAATAATAATCGTCATCAATCACCACAATCGACGTATCACCACTCATAAATCCAGGAATTATAATATTAACTGCAGTCGCAAATAGGTTTAGATTAAATAAATTGTCAAGAGTTGATCAATTTGTGATGTCGTATGGTGGCCTTCGAGGTGCAGTAGCATTCGCATTAGCACTATTAATCAAGCAGCAGCGGGTCGAATCCCAGCCGATGTTCGTCACAACAACCATTGCTGTGATTTACTTCACTGTTTTCCTGCAAGGCATCACCATCAAACCACTTGTCAAGTTTCTCAACGTGAAACGTGCAAATAAAAAGAAACCAACAATGAATGAACGCATTCATGAGCGTGTAAGTCAACAGCAGATCAAGCGGAAAATTTATATGCAATTTAAATACGTAATACGTATACGAGCGCATTAATATGGAATATGGTTTTTCCGTTTACAGTTGATTGATCATTTAATGGCTGGCATGGAAGATATTGCAGGCAAAACAGGAAATTATCATGTTCGAGATAAATTCAAGCGATTCGACAATAAATTCATTCGTCCACTTATATTGAAACATGTTCAGGTTTGAATTCTCTTTTGGCAACGACTTTTCAAATCGATGTGTTTTTCACCCATTTCTCTTACTTTCTTTTCGCACCGGATGCCATATTTTCTTAAATGCTTTTCATCTATTTCTACAGTCCGCTGAGCCGAAAATCCTTGAAACTTATTCAAAACTGACCATGAAAGATGCAATGGATTTTATGAATCGCAATCCCTCAACAATTGGTCAAATGTCTGGCACGGAATCAATGAGCGCTTTGTTTCGCAGTTACACAGCTGGTGGCGGAAGGTTGGCACCACCATTTTTGATGAAAACATGGTAATTTCTAGCAAAACAGTGCATGCTATTCCCCGTTTTGTCCTACAACACATATATAGAACGATAAATATACCAAGAAAAAAGATTTAATAAGAAAATTAGCTAAACATGTTTCTATACATATTTATATACTATTTTACATCAATTTAATACTTTTCCATATTGTATTTCTATACGATATTTAGCTTTCCAAATCATTATTCAGTCGCCCATAGAGTCTTTCAATTTAAACAAACAAACAAAAAACGCCGTCTGAGCATTTCATCTTATCTGTAGAATACAATAACAAACCATTCACACATAGTATATTATGCTTGGCGCGGCTTTGATATCATCATCGCAACACACTTACACGTATAGATGACTTTTGCCTTGAACATCATGTGCCGTCTAGATTGAAATAAACCAAACTTGGCTCCTGACTGGAGTTTTTGTATTTGTTTTAGATTGCTTTCTCTTTTTTTATTTCATACGTAATGAATATATCTTTTGAAATCGATAATTGACACTAGAATCGTTCTTATCGCATTTTAGTCACATTATGCACTGTTTTTGCTGAATTACCTTTTTTCTTTTTCAATTCTTATGTCATTTGTCATTAAATATATTGGTTGCTAATTAGACATTTTTTGTAACTCTATCAATGCAATTTCTTATTGGATTTTTCGTTTTAAACTTTTTACGTGACAGTCCCAGCTTTTCAAATATTGAAAATTGCTCAAGAAATTTGGATATGCAAGAGCTTGATTATAATCCATCAAAGAAAGATTTGACAGATGCCAAAATCCATCATCTTCTTGCCGAGGAATTGAAACCGTACAAACGGGTGAGTTTTATGTGTTAATTTATCTCCCTCCAAAAAAAAACTAAACATTTGTAGCACCAAACAAAGCAAACGTCCAACAACGCTTCTTTTATAGACAAAAGTTTGTTGGAGATTGTGCAGGCCAAGTTTTGACAATGAAAAAACAATCAATTCTACAATCAATTGAATTTGAAATGTTGTTCGTTCATTGTGAAAACAGCTTGAACTTTCGATTTAGAATGAGTATGATAAAATACCTAAGTGAAGACAAAGGAAGTTTGGCAGAATTAAATTTAAGCACCTTTTAAATCAGCTTCTTAAGTGGTTTTCGTTGACAATGTCAACTTGACATATAATGACAGAAATTAAAAAAAAAAAGTTTTTCAACGAACAAATATCAAAAACAACATAAACACTTTTTTAAAATATGAAATCAATTCAACGAATTCTTTTTTTCAATTTATTTTTCCCATCCAAACAAAAAATATAACACATTTCCATGGAAATTTGCGACGCAAAAAATGCGCACATATACACCATTTCTTTACAAAAAAAAAAACACAAACACACACAAACAAACAAACATTAAATAGGCATCCTGTTCATCTAAGACGCTGGTATGAATCCGAACAGTTTCAGTGTTATTCTTACTGTTGTTTCTGTTTGTTTTTATTTGTTACTTTTGATTACGTTTATAATTATTTAGATTTTAAAAATCACTCAAGAGAATTATGCGATAATTTTCACAGCAAATTGTATACAGTCACTCAAGTTTCAATTGCGCGACTCAAGAACTACAGATAGTAGACGAAAAACTTCACAGTTTTTACTGAATTTCGGAAACGAAACGTGCGAATATATAAAATAAAATTAAGAATAAAACAAAATATGAATAAGCTTGAGTGACAGTACGCATGGACATTATTATTTTCACGCTTTGGGCATTCAATAAAAAATACATAAATCTTTCCATGATATCAATCATTTTTGTTAAATCGGCTTGATAAATTTGAATAATATACTTGACAAAGTTTTTTTTTGTATGCATGATGCCATTTAATTCATGCAGTGACCAATGCTTAGGAGTTCAATTCTGAGCTTGCTTCTATCGTGCACAAAATCAAATTTTCCGAAAAAATTCTATTACCAAACCCGTCGAGTTTTGCTACAGCTGAAATCTATTTTTGTCAGCGACAAGGACACACATAAAAAACAAAAAAAAATCATTTAAAATTACTTACATACGGATTTTTACGAGGCTGTAAATTGAAACGAAGAGTAAACAATTTTTTTTCGTTGAATATATAAAACAGAGATAAAATCTTATTGAATCAGAGTTGACATACACATAGAGAATATAAATGAAAACGTTTTCATCATGCATTCAAATCTAGAAAAAAAGAAAAAAATTCCATGTAAATATTTATCCCAATCAAATAGAATTTTATTCAGATTTAGTTCAATTTAAATCTCCATTCACATTTGTACCGAAATCAACACACAGAATAGACTAACCATATGATGGTTTGCATGCTGTTTGATGTAATCGTTTCATTGGTCAATCGATGTACACATTTTGGTTAAAAAACGATATAATTTCATAAAATAGTAACATACATAATACTTAGGGTGTTTAATTTTAAATTTTTCGTTGCAATTTTCCTCGCTCTCCTCTATTTTGCTACTTGTTTTATGTTTTGTGTTGTGTTCCATGCAATTTCCAATTCTATAATAATTGAATTCTATTGAAACTATGTTGTTTACTGTCGTTAATAACATTTATTTAAAAAAAAAAAAATGTTTGCAGCATCGACGTCTCAGTTACAGTCGACATGCTGTCGATGACAGAGATTTAACTACACAGGTAGATAACAAATATAATCAATTTTTTCTCGTGAAATATGTTACATTTATTTTTATTTGCTCTTTTGTTCAATGGCACAATAAAGCAGGTCAATTATAAGATGCACATGAATATTCGACGAACGACAGATCGAAAACATCATAAGCGTAGCAAACGAGGCAGTGCCAAGGTGAGTCAATTATTACTTTATTTCGATCAAATTTCCGTTGTTTATCCAATTACCATCTGATATCATGTTATTTCTGTTTCGCAGGAGGGTGCAAAGCAAAATCACGTGTCATTCCCGGAATTCAAGCAAAACGGATCGGCGAAACAGCTATCGCATGGTACGAAAAAGCATCACTACTCATATCGAAATATAATTCGAAAACATTCTCACAGTCTTAACAAATATCGTAGAATAGATCTAGGTAAATAATTGTTCACATTCATGCATCCATCCGTGGTCCGAACAAAATTCTATACAGTCAATAATCGAAGAAAATTTTCATGTTCGAAATGATTCCAAGCCCAAATTGGTTTCATTTGGAAAATTTATTAATTATAATCAAATCAAACATATTGAATATCAATTTATAAATGCGTTTAAAATGAAATATTTATTTATTCGAGCGGACTTTCAATTCTGCCTAAGCTCAAAAACTAAAAAATCCTTCGAGAGAAAAAAAAACATTCGGAAGCAACCCGAAAAGCTCGTAACGGTATTGCACCAAAGTTCAAGGTCACTTAAATACGAAAATAATTCTAGCCGCAAAATGAGAGATGCATACACCTCAATCATCGACGTCAGTCATAATTTTCCATCATTCATTTAACAAGATTAAATTTCATCAATCACAAGAGAGAATAGTAATCAATGATCCAAAGCAAAGAACACACCGTGCACCAAACATTTTATTGATTTGATTTTGTTTCACTTTGTTAATTAAAAACGAACAAAACATCCATCGCATTTGTCTGCATAGCTTCAAATGAAATACACATCTCCCAAATCCAATAGAATATGTTTCGCAATTGTGTCGGATGAAATTTAATTTAGTTTAATAATAAGTGATAAGTGCACAACACGCACAAATCTACTTGATAAGTCTCAAGTGTTTTTGTCTTCATGAAAGAACATTCGGCAAATCTTTTGCATGAAATCTATCAATAGATTTGTTTTTCTTTTCTATTCACTGTTCTTCTTCTTCTCTAGAAACATACCATTTCTTTATGTAGCGCACGTTTTTATTGCACCAAATAACACTATATGTACATTTATACATATATAGATATTTTATGCACTCTTGTTGAGGTAGAACAAAAACAAAACCAAGAACATCAAACCTCTTGTATCGAAAACCCTATCTACCACTTAGTAACCAAAGCCCCATATTTCTGTTCTCTTGTATTTGTTCGTGTTCTTTGTACGTGATAAATGTCTTCTAAAATATAGACTACATTAATGAAGTGCTTAATGAAACAGTTGACGATGACGAAAAACAAAATCTGCCCGATGACTGGGAGGAAGGATTAACTTTTACAGCAAGATCGTCACGTAAGTACATCACTATCATTTTTTTTAATTTTCCTTTTATTCTCTTTTTTAACGAAAGTTGTGAAACTATGGTTACATGTGCCTTTATGTTTCTTACTTTTCCATTCTCTCTCTCCCACAAATACTTTTGAAATTCATACACATCTGAACTTTTCCCCAAATTGCTACTATAGATTCTTACGAGAAAAAAAACTGTACAAAAAATAGCTGATAATTTTTTTTAAGTTTTCTTTTTTCAAGTTCCACTTTTTTTTGTATTCCTCTCCCACTAATTCCTTCACTGGAGCATATTTCAAATTGAGTACGGTTGAACCATATAATATATACACTATACATACCCTCTTCTTATATATAACAAGTTTTAATGAGTTGGTAATAGAGCGGCGTGTTTTTTTATTATGATTATTATGAACTAAGTTTGAGTTTAACCTCGCCGTAAAATTTTAAATTTATATAAATTTCAAATCGTTGAAGCATGAAAATAGTTTCATTCCGAGATGAAATGTTGCTGCTTTTGATTTGCTTTCCATTGGTTATATATCATTTGAAAGTATATATGTATTTACAAGGGGAAAAAAAAAAGAGAGAGAGAGAGAGAGAGAATCTGAATGAATGTTTTCCAAGGACTTGTACAGAGAAAACTTTGTCGTTCAAGTGTCTAATCTTGAAATTGTTGAATTTTGTAAATATAGAATTTAATTTGTATTAATTGGCTTTTCTGTGTTAAATTTTCCTTGAATGTTTGGAGTCAAATTGATTCAATGATATTGTCGCTTGTTTTCCTCCTTTAATCTTCTTTCATCTATACAAAATAAAACAATGGTGTTGTGTCGGTCGATGGTCGTCGTTTTGTGATAAAACTCCGAATATACTCGACGATTTCATCTCGTTTAGCCGAACAAGCGGATCAGAAAAATAATAGTTTATTATTGGCGAATATTGCCAATTTACCTGGATTTGATTCGTCAACAGCACGTTTTGCCACACAATATTCAACTCGAAGCAGCCCCGATAAGTCAGTCATGGAAATTGTACCGACGGCTGCTGAATTGATGTTACCGTGGCGACGTGAGCAATCGTACCAAAGTTTCGGTACGTTTAACAATAACACATTTTTTTCACATTTTAACTATCGTTCCATACATTTTAATCTATCTCACTCTGTCTATCGCATAACTAGCCGATTTTTATGTTTTGAATTTCAAATTCTAATTTCATCTATATATGTACAAATATGTAGAATCATAAATTGTCACAAAAAAATCAAAAAAAAAAAAAATTCAATCGCCAAATTCGACGCTCTCAAATCCAAATTCATTCATATGTCTGAACATAAACCTGTTTACTTCATGGAAACCAAATCTGAACCAAAATTGCGACAGCAAGCAATCTATACAAATCAAGCAAGCTTAACATTGCACATAATTCGAAATATGAAAAACCTATGGTGCTCAAGCGATAAGCACCAGCATTTGCTTATGGACTAGCAGGAAAAGCAACATCTTTTTTTTCACTTTTTGGGATTCTCTATTTTCAATCAATTTCTGTTAGCTTGTTTGGAAATATGTTAGTTGTAATTTTTGTAGCGCAAAATGTTGTTTGTGTTAAAATTTCTCTATCTTTCAGTTGAAGCTACAAGTTTCGACATGGAATTTTATTATTGTTCAAATCTTTAATTTCACCATTTATATTGAATTTTGTTTATTTTTTATTTTTATTTGAGGCTTCCAATCTGATTTCGGCTTTGAATCTAATGCTTCTAGCAGTAAAAGAAACTTCTTATTGCCCTTGTTTATACATAAAACTTGTTATTCTTGTTTAATTTGGTAAAGTACTCATTTATTACGTATTTTGAAGAATTTTTAGAATCGAACTTTCAAATTTCAAATAAGCCATAACCGTTATTGTGTCGAAATGTATTTCCATTATTCAGTTAATTAACTATTTTATCGATCTTTTTATGGCATGGATATGTTATTTATATGAGTTTTTGTCTAATTTAGCAAATTTTGCCTTCCTCTGAGGAATAGTTGGCACAATTTGAATGAAACACCCGTAATTTACGATATAGTTAATCTGAATACTGCATTATGGATATCAATAACATTAATTTGGATCTTGAATCATTTTGACATTGCATTGCACGCATTCTCATTTTTGAAAAAAATGCACACATTAACTTTTTCGAATGTAAATTTTGTTAACTAGTATAAGTAATGTTTACAATTAGTAAGCTACTATGGTGAATGTGTACTATTCCAGGTGATGAAGACGATGGAGATGATGTTGAAAATTCAAATAAACGACTGTCAAAAGAATCCGAAGGTAAATTAAATCAGTATTGATTAAGAAATAGATCTTCATTATTATTTGTTACATAAGCTACCTTTCTTTTCGAATTTCGAAAAAACATCTATTATAATATTGTATATATACTGCCGTCAGAAATTTTGAGACCAAACAAACATTTTTCATGCAATTTCATACAAATTAAGAAGTTTTAGGAGCAGTATTTAATATATTCCGGAAATAATTAGAGGAAAAGACTGATTGGAGAGCGAAATGGTATTATTAAATATTTCTCCAAAAACTTCTCAATTTCCATGAAATTGTTTGAAAAATATTTGGTTGGTCTCGAACTTTCTAACGGCAGCAGTGTATGTATTACAAGTAATAGCACCACTCAGTGATTATTAAACTAACAATGTTTTTCGTATTTATTTGGAAAAATAATTATATTCTCCAATGCAATTGAAACATTTTATTTATCCCAGGTGAAACACGTGTTACCACACCAACAGCCACTGAAACACAGTTGCCATGGAAACGAAATGATCAGGACACTGCTGAAGTATTACAACAGAATGAGTTTCCGGCATGGGCATCAAATAAGGAGTACTTGGCGTATAATTCACCGAGTGCAACTTTCTTAGGTAAATTTGGTTTCCCAGGAAACATAAGTTGGTTTTTGCTTAAAGTTCAAAATTGATGCTGAGATGGAAAAAATCAGCAAACAGAAAACACTGAATATCAGTGATGCTATCCTATGGGGGACGTATTGCATATACAATGCTTCTTATCAAATACGTAATCAAGCTCGCTCTTTGTAATAATAGTTGAGCACCATGGAAATAAAAGGAACTACACCTTAGCCACGTTTCTTTTTTGCCACGTTTTTCCCATTCGCCGGAATATAGAATCATCAATCAATTTATCGCATTTTTACTAGCTATAGCAATTTTATACTATTGTTTTTCTATTAACACTTTGAGCACGTGAATATTGAGTGCAGTACACTCAAGTGCATGTTTCGTTCATTTCATCTAGATATATTATTTCAACACTTTCATGGCAATGAAGTTTTTTCATTTCACTTCTTTGAAATATTCAAAATTAAATCTCATTTTTCATTTCGAACGAAAAAGATTTTTTTCGAAAAATCATCTCTTCCATTTTATTTTCAATAGTTTTGTTTGCAAGGAAAAAAACGTTGAAATTGATATTTAGCGAAGTATATGGCGTTTTTAGAAATATCGTAGATTTAGTAAGATAATTGTGTCAAACAAGTGACAAAAATGATGAGAATCCTATCTCTTTCATACAAACGCAAAATTGCGGTTAGATAAAATTCACATTCTATTCAAAGACTGTAGTTTACAGAGTTTCGGTTATTTAAATAATTGCATTCATACAATTATAACTTCTTGCCGCATCACCATATTTTGAGTGTTTAATTAGCAAACTTTCTACACGGCACATTCAATGCAAAAAAAAGAAGAAAAGAGTTACTAACTAAATACCAAGAAAAAAAACATCTTTTCTATTGCAAATATTTGTTTCTCTACAATTTGTTTACATAGCGATTTATGTGCTTGGTTAGTTTTTTTTTAGCTTGCACTTTATCTACAATATGTTCTTTTTTTTATTCTTACTTTTTCTTTACATTTCCTTGAAAACGAACGCAAAAACGAAAATATATGAAACATTGAATTGGCAAAACGGTTCCACACAAAAACACACAATCACTTGATTGCAATTGCAACTGCAAAAACAATAATTTTGTTGAACAAAAATCAAATATAAAAACCAAAACTGTGTGCAGGAGCACTATCAAAACCAAAACAAATAAAATCTGTGATAGGTTTGTTTCGACGCGAGAGTACGACATCCGGTTCGGCGGCCGGAAGTGATCCATGCCTTGCTGCCCAACTCACTGAGCTAGCAACAACAAATCAACAACCAGGCAGCAGCAGCAGTGCCGGCAGTAGTACATACCGTGCAAGCATAAGCGGTGCACCAACAAGCGAACATCACGATCGTCCAGCACGTGGTGATCGTCGACGTTCCATATCGATTTGTGCAGTCACACCAATTGATGAGTCCATTGAAAATGGTGTCGATCCGTTAGGTGCCTTAATTGAATTTAAAAATAATGATAAACACACCAAATTGGAGAACACATACTGCAAAAACAATCGACGTCGTTCACTCTTCGAATTAAGCGGGTAAGTTTAAAAAAAATGTTAATGCAACAAACTGAGAACAAACCAAAGCGACCAAATAAACCACACAAACCGATTTACATACAGAAACAAAAACTAATAAATTGGAAAAGCTCAATCAAGTCTACTTTTTAATTCAAAATACGGGTTTACCTCCCCCCCCCCTTATTAAAATGAAACAATTTTCCAAATTTTTGTTAGAGAAAAGAGTTTCGTGTACAACTATACATTTCCTGCATGTCACACACACACACCTCTTTCACTCTGTCTTTTTCTTTTTCGATGTGTTTTTTCATATCTTTCGATCATATTATATGAACTGTTATTCTGTGTGCAAATTTCATTTTCAACCTCATCATCGAATTGTGCTATTTCAAAAGGTTACAAGGATGTAAATACAGAAAAAAGTTTTAAGTGTGAAAATTGGATTTTTTCAAAGGGTGTGAGGAAAAAAGGCAAATTCAAACCAATAGCACGTACCCACTCTAAAATTAGGTCACACAATAAGTGTAAATAAAATGGTACATGTAATTGATGATATATTTTCATCAAATTGAACGTAGATATATTTGATGTATGTAGGTGTTGGGCATTTCCAAATAGTAATGCTTTCAAATTTTCACATTTTCGCACAAAATTCGCCCGCCTATATAGTTATTTAAAATTGAATTCAAATTTACCGTATCAAATCGATTGATATGCTTTCTCTAGGTAAATATCAACAAAACAGTATTTTGAGGTTTTTTATTATAATTATTTTTTGTTCATCACCAATAATCATATTTCACCATGAAGCACATTGTATATTTTCAAATTGAAAGTAAACAATTATTTATTATCAATCGAAGGTGAGATTATGACTAACAATTTTTAATTAATTATTGATTGAAACGTGATATATGATACAGTTTGTTTATATTGTAATTAGCTGAAATTTGATTTGGTGCATTCAGCACCAAAGATGCGACTAATTATACTAAATTGCATTCGATATACTCTTTGTTCGATACAGAAGGTCAGCATCAGAGGAGAAGTATTCAAAGTCATTACCCGATCGAGACTCATTCGGTGGTGGGAGACCGCGACCGGCACAGTTTCTAACAAAATTAACACCCAAACCACATCTTCGACAAATGCAATCGCAAACATCATCACTGCTATCCTCTACATCCATTACAGACACGTCTGAGGAAGATGATGACGACGACGAAAGCGAAGATCTGCACGCATATAACGAACGAAGGCACAGACGTCATCAATGATTTTAATTTTGTTTATTGTATAAATTACCATTTCGATTTCATTCTAACGTTTCTCATATATTTTTTGCAATTTTGAGAATATGATTGATGTCAATCAACAAATTATATTAACAATACCAAATTTCTCGTTCCTTTTTTTGCCTAACAAAAAAAATTCGTTGCAGTGAACTGAACTTTATTCATTTAATTAAAATTGACAATAAATTTTAAAAAAAATGTCTACATTTAAACAAAATACACTTCAGTTAATTTTTAAGTGATATTGCACTGGAATTCATAGTTAAAAAAACTCACACAGAAATTATGCTCCATAAGAGACTGTATAAAATGCAAAACTGTAGCACTGCTAGCGCCACTACGGACAACTATGGAGTTCTAGTCTGTTGGTTACAACTGAGCAAAAGTCTTTTCACTATTTGGCGGCAACTTAGTGTAGATTACATTGAATTCCGTCGTGGCGCTAGCAGTGTGACAGTTTGGGCATAATTTCGGTACGAAAAAACTTGAAGCCGTGTTCGGACAATTTGATACAAGAAGAAGAGAAAGAAAGAAAGTTGTTTTCTTTAAGTGAAAATTAGAAATGATTTTGATTAAATCCGATGGAATCCGTTCGTGCCATGTAGCTGGATGATTGCAAATTCTGAATTGTTGTAGCGTTCAGCATTTTACTGTCCTATAGGATGGACGATTAGAAAAAAAAATGTTTTAGTTCTCGCCTAGATTAAAAAAAACACGCTTTCAAAAACTGCACAGCATCAAATTCGGAATGGTGCACAAAATACAAAGAATGTCTTCATTTTAATTCGAAAGCGATTCAGATAGCAATTAAATGATTGGTTCAGTGCATTGATAACTATAAAGTAAATAAATTATTTGCGATAGAAAAACAACTATTTAACTCAACAAGTGTATATAGTACAGAAAATGATATATTTATAATTAATGAGGTGATCATATTGCTTCGGAAAGTGATTAGATTTTGGCAAGTGAATTTGGTATGGACTTTGAAAAATGTGTAATTGACAATTACATGTTTATGTAAACACTTAGCATAATTTAAGTACAAAATGATAGTGTGCCGTGATGGTTTTCGCTGATAAAGCATTGTGATGTGCACTTTGAAAACCATCATCGCAATAGCTCTAGTTAAAAATTGATCATGTGCATCTTCATCATTATCAAATGTCCAAAAATCCAAACAGTGTATATTAAATTTTATAGTATGAAAAAAAAAATCATAATTTCGAAGAGAGTTCACGGTGTCGATGATATTTCAGAAAAAGAAGTAGACAGAAGAAAATTAATTGGAATGGATAAGATAGAAAACGTAAAAGATAGACAGGGTAAAAAATTAGAGTCACTTGAATAGAGGCAAATAAAGGAATGCCAGACATTTCCATTTGGAAGATTTTCGGGAAATGTTCTGGCGTTGAAAAAAAAAAAACAATTGACGGCACTTCAAAGTAAAAGAAAACATATCGACAGATTTAGTTGGAATATCACACTGTACAGCGTCGGTACATTTTCTACAATACCAGAAAATGAAGAAGAAAGAACAGATCCAATTTGCTAAAACATTTAATCAGGGATTCTTTCTCTGAGGAGGAGGAATCGTGAGGAGGAAAATGAGGAGGAGGAGAGCGAGGAGGATCCTCCTCCTTAAGTGAGGAGGAAAAGTTTTTTTTGTTCAAAGGGCCATTTTTATCACAAAAATATCATTTTTAGCTGAAAGCATTTTCCTCCTCACTTGAGGAGGAGAATCCTCCTCGCTCTCCTCCTCCTCCTCATTTTCCTCCTCGCCATTCCTCCTCCTCAGAGGAACAATCTTTGCATTTAATAAAATCTGTACATGCAGTGAGTTAGTAAGACAACGATTTAAATTGGTAGCATATTAAGTAGATGATATTTAATTTTTTTTTGTGTTTTTCTATCCGCGCATTGTATTCCAAAAAGGAATCGTGTTACACCAAATACACAATCTGTTAGACTGGCTGTACCTTAAAGTTTGTTAATATAGACAATACCGACGATGATAAGATGTTTCTTTTTTCTCTTTTGTCAAAATAACAAGAAAACGGGTTTCTATCTGATTTAGAATAAAGTGTTGTGTACTGCTTGAATCTTTACCATCCAAAAAATGAACACATTTAATCGATAATCATACACACACAAATATTGCGCTAAAAGCTTAGTAAATACTAAAAAAAAACACTGTTCGATCGTTCAAATGAAATTTATTATTTGATTGCTGTTGAATTTCAATTAATCGCAACTAATTAAATTAAAATTGTATTAAAGGCTTATTTATATAAATGATATATTTAGATTTAGCAAATGACATATTACAAAAAAGAAAGAGGAGAAAAAAAACTAATTGAAACTATTTTTAAGAAATTGATCTATATTATTAAATATAGCATTCAAAAATGAACACTTTTAAGATCGATTTTTTTTAGTTTTTGCTCTTCTAAGATTTAATTCTAGTAAATGCAACAATTTGACGGCTTAAAATCAAGCCTTGTCGGCAACAAATTCAAATCAATTTTACTGCCCTTTTCTTTAAGTACGTCACTGTCTTGAGATTATTTTATGTTCGAAACAAGAGAAAAAATAAATCATATTTACCGGATCAATGCAAAACACTATATATTATTACATACAGTGACAAATTACAAATACACTCACTTCAAAGTGAACAAAAAAAAATACAAATTATGTATAAATATATTAAAATACAAAAATGGTCTAATGAAAAGAAGAAGAAAAATGGAACTTAAATGAAATCCTCGGCTGTAAAATTCTCTACGAGATTTGAATCGAAAATAAAACAAAAATTAATGGTGTATTTTATATTTGGATTTCATTTGAAAGAACTGTATTTCATAATAAAAATATCTACAGGCAAAAAGGAGTACATACACATTGCATTTAATTGTGAGCATTTTGTTCGCGCCTACATCCATAAATTATTACAATGAGACAGGATATAAAACACAAGATACAATTGGACACAATTCTAGACTAGAATTTTTTTTCTGGAAAAAACCACAACAAAAAAACCAAATAACCAGAGACAAACATTGTTTATATTTTTGGTAGAAAATACTAATAAATTTATATTTTTAACTGTTATGTAACGAATCAGCATTTTTTTTACTCTAATTAAAGCAGTTCTTTTGATTGAAACATCTTTTTTAGAAGGAGAAAATACTACACTGTGATAAAGACTGTGTTTTTTCATACGGTAAGCTTAACTAATCTGCTTGCAAAATTCAAGTCCGAAATAAAATATATGTTTTTGTTCTCAAAATGGTGTCTAATTGAACTTTTTAATTGCTTCCATTTGAAGTGGAATTGTCATCAAACAGTTACTGATGAACGTGCATACGCATTGTATATACTTTTGTGGATATTTAATGAATAGCTTAACGTGTTCGGCATCATGAAAGCAAACAGTCTCTACTGGTACACCAATGCTCTGTCGAAAATATGCAAATGATTCAACATCCTAGAATTTAACATGAAAAATCATATTCGAATTAATTTGAAATTTTTTCCATTAAAATTGTTCAAATATACTCACACCAGGTAGAATGAGTTTGTCGGCATTTGAATACAAAAACAATTGCGGTATGTAATTGTCAAGGTACATTAAGTCGTTATACGGATTAACACTTGGTGTTGATTTTGATGAAAACATCCCTTTTATCCGCAAGAACAGATCCTGTTTCGAGGTCAAATCGTGCATATATAAAATCATATTCATTTAAATTTGAAGATATAAATACCTCGAATATCCATTTTGCTGCTAATCCCAAAGTTATACCTAAGGGGAGAATCACAAAAGAAAAGAATTAATTGGAAATAATCGATAAGTAATCGACAAATAATCGAAATAATCGAAAATAATCGCAATAATCGAAAAAGAATCAATAACAATTATTAAATAATAGAAAAGTCAAAGTTATACCCCAGGAAATTATGCAACTAAATCGTCGCTCTTTGCCATAAATAGACGATACAGCCCGATATAATGAAAGAAGGCGTCGATCTCCTGGCGACGAATCAAAGATTATACCACAGATCTAAAAAAAGGCACAAACAATAAATATAAATGCAATTGGAGACAAGTCCATTTGGGATTAACGACACACAGGCACACTTACATCAAGCGGTGTTTGAAATTCCTTGATTGCCAAATCGATATGTTGATATAAATATGCGCCGCCATTCGAGAATACGTGTAAAATTATTGGATTCGCATCAAAATTCATATCGTATAATAATTTAACGATTTTTTGACCAATCGACTTCATGGCATCTCGTTTCCAAAATATATTCTCAACGGGCGCAGTGTATCGAACAGTAATCAAACTGAAAATTGGGAGATGAACAGACAATGAACTCTTTTTTTTCTTTGCTGGCATGAAAATGTGCGATGAAGCCATTTATTGACGCAAATAAAAAGATGAACAAGGCTATTCATTTCAAGCTCTTTACTTTTTTTTGTGTGTGGTAAAACGGGAAAATTTCCAAAAATGTCATGTGATTGATGCAATTGCGATATAAACTCAAGGTCAATGTTGGTGCATTTGAAAGGCTCCGTATGATCAAGGTTGAAACGTTATATTTTGCTAATGAAATTAATTCTGTCAAGTGTTTTGTAAACGCAAATTAAGCGTAAGATGACTTAAATTGCGTTTCGAATCTAATTGATAATGAGAATGAAACATTGATTGAATGATAGCGATTTCATTTGAATTGTGGAAAATATGAGTGAATGTGCGAGTGAATGTGTGAGTGAGTGTGTGTACTTTTTTCATAGCAACAGTGAAGTGACGCGTGCAAACAAAATCCCTTCTTCGTGGAAATGCGAATTGTGTGTGTGTGTTTTTTAAATATTGGAAAAAATGCTGGAATTACCCTCGATCTTCGTAGATTTTTGAATATTTAATGAGATATTTATCTTGGCAACCTGAAATGATATTTTCAAGATATTAAGCATTTTAATGTTCAAACAATTCACCGAAAAGCAAAAACATACCAGCCCACCCCAAAAGCAACACAATTGGTGTATTACTTTCATCACTGGCAAAATTAAAATCACATTCTGAACACTCATTTGATGGATATGCCTTACTAAGTGCACTTATTGGCGGTGGAAATTTTATGAAATACTCCAATGAATCATGTGGTAGGTAATGGTCTTCCACAGCTGACAATGACATAATTATATTATATCCAATTAAATTGATATGCTTGCAAAAAGGGTCCGAAGTTTTAATTGATTTTTGTTTGTTTGTTGTGGTTTCAAATTATATACGGATCAATAATCATCAAACTTTGAAAATCAACTGAAAGCAATAATACAGGTAAAAAGTACAATTCGATTTTCCAATACGTCCTTTTAACCGGCAAACTGCTTCAGTGACTTTCATATACTGCAGAGCACACTTTTTCTATAACCGTGACATCAAGAGCCGTTGTGAAATTTCTGTGGAAGGAAAAAAATCATACGATTCATGTATTACAAACGGGAAGGATAGCTGGAGACATGCGCTGTGCCTTCATATGTATTACCAATCAATTTCCGTATTTCAATTCTTTCATTTTACAATAGATTAAACAAAATATAGTAATAATATTTCTATTTATAAAATTTGGAATGTCATTTACTATAACACATCAACTCGACATTTTTAATTATAAAGTCATAAAGTTTTTTTTCTTCTCAAACCAATACAAATCGATTTGGAATTGATTAAAATTCTATTTTTCATCATGATTTCGCACGATTCTACTTCGTGATGTAAACAAAAGTCACGCTACTTGTACTGCGGCAAAATGGCTGCGTACTAACATGCGATGGGCTATCACACTCAACGGTGGACATTTCATATAAGGAAACCGGCGAATTCCATACGTTTTAAATCATCTGCTTAAATTTTCTGTCTATAAACCTCAGCGATAATTTATTGATGTATTTCACAAAATTTTCCAATTTTATAATTCTGGTCGTATTTCATTCAAATAAGAACATGAATGGCTGCGTACGTGTTATGTGTCATGTGTCAAAAAGTATGTAAATGATGTCATTGTGGTTCTTGCCTCATTCGTACGCTTGTATCGTTTAGTCATAAAATTTCGTTTGATAATTTAATCGGTGGAAAACCATATTTGTCAATTAGTCTATTTGAAAATACTAGTAAGTAAACTCCTACATTGTATTTCTAATTGTATTTTATCCATTTTTTCCATGATTTTTATTTCACAATAATTATTAAGCCAATGTCATTTATGACGAATCACGATTACACTTTGGTTATTTTATCTCGTGCAATTTGATTTCTTATCACCAGAGATATTCTTTTTAATAGTTTTTTTCTTTTATTTGTAGTTGAAACTGGCGTTACGTTTTTCGTTGTTATTAAAACGAAGTTTTCCCGCATTTGCTTTGAAAAAGTCAATTTCAACGTCTGCATCAAAAATGGTTAAGGAATACCACGTAAAAGGATACGAAGAGTTCACCAAATTGGCTGAAAGTCTTGAAAGCACTGGTGAAAATGTGCACATTCTCTTTAGCGGTGGCAAAGATGAAACTGGAAACAGCTGGTGCCCATATTGTGTTAAAGCCGATCCGGTCATCAAAGAAGCACTCAAACATGCAGCCGAAAACAGTCATTTCATTCACGTAGAAGTCGGCGACCGACCATAGTAAGTAAATTTACACATTCTAACCATACAATACATTGTACTAACTGGTCAACTGAGCTGACAGTACGTTAGCCAGCTAAATGGGCTAAAACAATAAAAGTTATTGTTATAATGATCAATTACTTTTATTAAAACAATAGAAGTGATTCATCATTATAACAATAACTTTTATTGTTTTAGCCCATTTAGCTGGCTAACGTACTGTCAGCTCAGTTGACCAGTTAATACAATATATTGTCTGATTCTAACATTTTTCATTTATTAATTTTTTTCAATTTTCTTTGTTATTCCAGTTGGAAAGATTTGAACTGCCCGTTCCGTGAGTAAATTTGCACATTTTTTGTTTATTAGTTTTTTCAATTTTATTTTAAATTGTTTCAGGTAAGGATCCACGCACTCATTTGGTCTTTTTACCAACTTTGCTCCGCTGGAAATCGCCGCAACGATTGGACGGGGAAAGATGCTCTCAAGCTGATCTTGTAGAAATGCTTTTCACCGATGATGACTAGACTGGACATATCTCCACAGTGCGATAACTTTGAATAAAAACCAAATATTCTAGTTATCAACAAAACTACTGTGTCACAAATTGTGTCAATCTAATTTCGATACGTTCGTGGATTATACTAAAACAAAATTTCAACATTTAACATTTATTTACTTTGCTTTTTGCACTTTTTGGACTAAATATCACAAATTGTAGTTTCGTTCTAATTACAGCATAACTAACATTCAATGGCTTTATAAACCGAGTGTTTTGTTTTATAAAGTGCAACAGATAGATAAATTTCTTGTGAAAAAATATATAAAGAATCTTCGAAATAGATGTGTGTTTCATTTTTTACAGTGGCCATTTTTAATAGCAGCATATTCATCACAAAGGAAAATCGAATTAAATGTCAATTGTCAAGTATTGAGCGAAAAAATTATCAATTATTGATACAACTCATTCTTCTAGGAAAATATATTTTATTTTTCAATCGTGTTTCAACAACAAATTAATTTTCTTCTGCATTCTTCATAATATAATGGTTATAAATAATTAACATATTCAAATCATGCGAACTTATTAATTTTAAAAATCCAAACTAAGCATGGCATCATCGACATCGTCATCATCAAGCATATGATGATAGTCCATGCTTTCAGTTTTGTTTGGCGATTCATTTTCACTGTTGTTATTATTGGTTTTGGTTTGATTTGTATCACCTTGATGATTAAAATAGCTTGTAATTGTGCGAATTGGTGACGATTGCTGTAGAAAATCAACAAATGCGTTTCAAAATAGAAATAAGCACAACTCATGAAATTTAATGTAGCAAAATTACCATAACTGAAACCCTTGAGTGTGTTGCGTCAGTCAAGTCTTCCGAAAATATTCCTGAAAACGAAATCAAATTATTTTATATTGATCGTTCATTTTCGTAAATAATAAAGCAATAGAACACAAAATTCAATTATCAGTGATGTTTGATTTCTGAAAATCAGAGCTTTCACCTACCGGCTTTGTTCAGTACGTCTTGTTTGCCAGTGACCATGTTCCACATGTAATCATCAACTGTTCCTTTTGCCAATAAATATCGGCATACGACTGGCTCCTTCTGTCCGATACGATGTGCTCGAGATTCACACTGAGCCAATGTACTTGGATTCCAATCCAACTCAGCAAATACGACCAATGAAGCAGCAGTTAGTGTTATGGCAGCATTACATGCTAAAAAAAATATCAAGCCGAATGAAATACACGATATACACCATTTTACGATCAATGAATTAGTCGAGAGTTCATGCGTACCTTTCAGTGAAAGAACGGCCACTTGACATGATTGTTTCTTTTGAAATTGATCAATGTAGGTAGTACGCAGATCATTTCTGGTGGAGCCGTCGATTCGAATGAAATTCACATTCAAGTTGTTCAAGCATTGGGCTATAGAATCCATCATCACCTTGTGATGTGCAAAAATGATGAATTTGAGCTTTTGTTTAACCAAATCCTTAACGTAGGCACTGCGGAGAAAAACACATGTATAATAGACATTATTAAAAAAAAAAAAAATGTTTGAAAGTGTTACCAAACAGCGTTCGACTTGAGTTTTGCTGATTCAGCGTACAATCTAAGCAATACTTCTTTTCGTTGGTCTCCTTTCAATTTGTTCACATCGGCCGAAAATTCTTTACAATTTTCGATCGTTTCGCGCATACTTTCATCGTGCGAATTCCAAACTTTACCCGAATCCAAGAGAACTGTTTCGCGTGACTTTGAACCAAACTCGAACTCAACGCTATCTTTGGTTCGCCTACAAAGAACAATCGTTTGTTAATTATGCTTTAAACTATTGCGGTTAAATAACATGAAAAGAAAATTCATACCGAATCATAAATTTGCGTTGCAAAATGACATTTAATTCAGTTAGATTGCTGCTTCCGCTGCTATCCAGACCGAAATGTGTTTCTTTGGCATCACAATAGCGCAAAGCGTATTGCTTAAAACTACCGAAAAAGTTCTTGTCAATCAATTCCAACTGAACATATAGTTCAGCCGGTCGACTTAGAGCCGGTGTACCTATAAACATAAAATGATTATCCATCGAACTGTTTTATGACATCATGAAAAATAAAAAGAAAATTACCCGTTAGCAGAATGATTCGCTTTGTTTTTTCACACAAGCGTTTAGAACTTTGTGCCCATTTGGTTTTGAAATTCTTAACCGTATGTGATTCATCCTGTCAATAACAAATTACATGGTTTACACTTGATCAAAAAGAATCCATAGTTTTTCTACTCACCAAAATGACGCAACCAAATGATCTTTTCATTAAAAGTTCAACATTTTTATCCATGAGGTTGTAGCTCGTTATGAGAACCTTGCAATCACCAACATATTCGTTTGTTGATGCCAATACCTTGATCGAATCACTTGGGACTGACGGTAATAAATTCGTTATATGACGTTCCCAGTTTTCTCGTGCCGTTGCTATTAAAATTCAATGTTTAGCTTCGTTTCAAATCTTACACAGAAATATTAGAATTCTATTTTGAAGAATAATGTAACATTACCTGTGGTAACAATCAGTAGTGGCCAATCGTCTCTGTAAAAGTCAGCAATTGCAATTGCTTGGTATGTTTTGCCTGAAATAATGTTTAAGTAATTAAATAAAATTGTTAGCGGTCAAAGAATATTTTCAAAAAACTCACCGAGGCCCATATCGTCAGCAATCATACATCTTCCACCGTTACTGATACCGAATGCAACACCATATTTTTGAAAATCCATCAGTTGTGAACTTAATCTTTTTTCGATTCCTTGAAGGCACAAAAAATCCGGCTCTTTTTTTTCTGGAGATATTTCACCTCATTTAGTATTCAACAATCGAGTTGATTCAAAAAGTCAAACTTTACCTTGTTTCAATAGCTTCAATACAAATGATGGTAGCTGTCCAATAACCACATGGGGACTAAGCGCGGTGACTTTTCTTTGAACTTCATCATATGCGCTCAAATCAAATGACCAAATTTTCTTTTCCCGATCTGTAAAAAAATTACAAAATCACTGAGAAATAGTACGTTTCAAAGCTAAATAATTCTAATCAAACACTTACCATACGACCGTGTCGGAGTGCCCTTGAAAACATCAATCAATTTATCACTGTAGCCCTTTTGAACGACTTGAAATCGATTTGAGGTGATCATGGAACAAGCACAGGTTACGACATGCATAAAAACTGGTGCCACGCTGTTATTCTTCGATGATTCTACCTTTCGATAATTATTGTTTGACATTCCGTCACGTTTCGGATACGGTTGTGATGAAATTCGATTGTTGTAACTTGGACTTGACTGTTGTTTCATTTTCTTTTCATAATTGCTCAACGTGTTGGCCTTTTCATTATTTGTATGCCCATAAAAAGTGTGTGCTGCTTTTGAAGATGTTCCTGGGCTGGTTGTATTGCTGGAACTTGACCGTACTTCATTAGTTTGGAGGGACGCTTTTTTTTGTTTTAAACGTTCCTGTGCTTGTCGCCTTTTTTCTGCAATTTCTTCAGCCGTACACGACATTTTGATGTTGAATTTGGTGATTTTTTTTAATTACTCAACACTCATTTAACACAAGATTCAATAAACAACCGTTTGAATTGAATGTGACGAAATTCCCTTTGTTTACTATGTTTTGATTTTTTGATGTGTCAATATGCGCGCAATATTACTTGTCACATGTTGCCAGTGCTCTGTAAAAAGATGAACAAATGCTGTGAGTTTGAATTTGAGTGATGGAGTTGCCCGTATTTTCTTTTTTCGAATTGGATACTTTTTGCGTTGCATTTTTAATCATACATCGTCTACAATATCAAGTACAACAAATAAATTTGTTAAAAAAGGAATGATATTTTTTGTTGTTAAAAAGTATTGCTTCAAATGAGCAAAGAAATCAGTGGTAGTAATTTTATTTAAAATGTCGAAAATTGTAAAAATTGAATCAATGGAGACGCCACAAGTGTTTTTACATCACTTCTGAAGAAAGTGAAACCGCAAGCAACAAGGTGATTGTTTGTAAACCAGAAATTCGTATGAGCTCTTCATGTGTTTGTACTTTGTGCATGCACGGTATTTTTAGCGCTATTCGATAAAATATATGACATTCGCAGACACAAATTGCCGAACGAGTTTTCGGCTTTGTTAAGTTTGTCACCATATTTTCTCTTTCTTAATTCTGGTTTTTTTTGTTGCAATAAAAAAATTCTTTGTGTTTTATCATAAAAATTCAAAGTAGAAAAACGTATAATTCGCAAATGATTAATTCGTATGCATTGATTGGTTTATCGCATCTATTTTCGATTATCATTAAACTGTCTAACCCAATCTGACCTTTAGTTGCTGCGTCATAGTACTGGACGATTAAAATACGTATAAAGGTTTATTATAATAACATCAACAAACGATATAACTGTGTTCAGTTGCATTTTAGAACCGTTCATGTTCGTTACAAACAAGTATAATGAAAAAAACTAGTGATATTACTGCTGTTGTGATAATAGCCATAGCATTGTTCGTAGAGCAATATGCATGTGTCGATGATTTGGTGTTCGTTCCGGTTAATGATCAAGTGACCAAAGAATGGTGGCAAACTGCGTCTTTGTATCAGATTTATCCGAGATCATTCAAAGATTCAAATGGAGATGGTATCGGTGACTTGAACGGTAGGTGGAATACGTTAGCAATTTCATTTTTTTTTGTTAATGTTTGCAAAATTGAACGATTGACATGAAATTAAGAAGCAGTCTTGATAAAAATCATTTTTTGTTTTCTCTTTCAGGAATCACAGAGAAACTAGAATACTTGAAAGAAATTGGAATTGATGCAACGTGGCTATCACCAATATTTCGTTCACCCATGCAAGATTTTGGCTATGACATTGCCGATTTTTATGATATCCAACCCGAGTACGGAACATTGGAAGATTTTGATCGTTTAATTAGCAAAGCACAGTCATTGAATATCAAAATAATCTTGGATTTCGTGCCAAACCATTCGAGTGACGAAAATGAATGGTTCATCAAATCTGTTAATAAAGAGCCAGGTTAAATATTTAAGTTTGTACACACGCCAATTTCATGTGTCACTGGGATGCATTTTCACTCGTCTTTGTATTTTGAAATAGTAAACGGCTTAAAGTATTAAAACAGAAAATTCTCTCCAAAAAAAACAGGTTTTGAAGATTTTTATATTTGGCATCCGGGTTATCCAGATGAAAGCGATCCATCAAAACGAGTGCCTCCAACAAATTGGCTAAGTGTCTTTCGTAAAAGTGCATGGCAATGGAACATACAACGCGGCGAATTCTATTTCCATCAGGTAAAACAAACTAAATATTTTATTCTGCTCTGCATTTGAGATTATTTACAATCAATCTATTTTTATTTAGTTTTTAGCTGGACAACCTGACCTGAACTACCGTAATCCCATTGTTGTTGAGGAAATGAAAGTAAGTATGAAGAGATGAAAGTAAGGAACAAAATTTTAATTTTTTTTTTTCAATAAATAAATAGAATGTGCTTAGATTTTGGATGGATCGCGGCGTATTTGGCTTTCGAATTGATGCTGTACCTCATCTGTTTGAAGTCGAAGCCGATGGGCAAAGAAATCTCCCAAATGAGCCACGTAGCGGTAATACAGACGACCCAGACGATTGGTCGTACTTAAAGCATATTTACACCGTCGACCAACCAGAGACCATTGATATGGTGTATGAGTGGCGTGAAGTCTTAGAAGAACATCGACGTCAGAATGGTGGCGAAGCTCGTATCATGCTCACCGAAGCCTATTCACCATTGAATATTCTTGAACAATACTATGGCAACAGCACTCACAATGGATCTCATGTGCCATTCAACTTTCAAATGCTCACACGAATAAACAATGAGTCGAATGCAAACGATTACATTGCATGCATTGATGATTTCATGAAAATTGTGCCAAAGCATCAGGTGGCAAATTGGGTGGTATGTTTCGATAATGGAAATTTAAATAATTGTTAGTAATTGTTTTCTTTTGTTGCAACCAGGTTGGAAATCATGATAATCATCGCGTGGGTTCCAGACTTGGTACAGACAGAATTGACATCATAAACATGATTATCTCAACTTTGCCTGGAATCGATATTACATACAATGGCGAAGAAATTGGAATGACAGACCAATGGTTATCATGGTCAGGTGTGCTCAATTAATTTATTTGATATATTCTCGTTGTCATAATTGATCTTTGTGTTCTCAGACACCGTTGACCCAGCAGCATGCAATAGCAATCCAAAAATCTATGAGTTTTTTACTCGAGATCCTGAACGTACACCATTTCAATGGAACGACGAACCAAATGCTGGCTTTTCGACATCAACTAAAACATGGCTTCCAGTTGCCGATAACTACAAAGTGGTCAACGTTCGTAAACAAGAGGCCGATAACAAGAGTCACCTTAAAGTTTACAAGAGTCTGAAGGACCTACGACAAGACCCAACTTTGAAAGATGGTGATACAAAATATGTGGCACTATCCGAACAAGTTGTTGCCATTGCTAGGTGTGTTTAACTAATTCTTTGTTATGTTCGCCATCATGATTGGTCTGTCTGTTTTTCAGGTACTTGGACGGGGAGAAGCTCTACATTACCGTATGTAATATTGGTCCAGCTGTTGAGAAAGTGAATTTGAAATCGATTGGTATTAATGTGCCAGACAAATTGGCGTATCACATCGTTTCTGTGTCGTCTGCACATAAAATCAAGTAAGCTAATAGGAGTTACATCTAAAATTCAATCCGACTAAATTTCGAATCGTTTTACAGTGAAAAGGTTAAGTCGAAGAATGTCATTCTGCAGCCCCGCGAATCATTTGTACTACGAAGTGATCAGGCTATGCATAAAAGATCTTATGAATACTCCCTACATGACGATAGTGAATTATGACTAGCCGGCTTTTTTAGTGTGGTTTCGCATTTCATACCAACATTTTGTCGATTTAAAAGACCATAATCACACAAGCACAAAAGTGCATAGAAAGATAGAGAGAGATTTAGAGAATGAGAGAGAAAAAAATGTTTTTATAATTGTTTTAAATTTATTTTTCAACAATTTTGTTCATCAAATGCCCAAATTGTACACATTTTCTGAGTATTACAACCGAATTTTTTTTTTGAACATTTTTTTCTCAGAAAGATAAACTACTTAAACTATATAACATCGTGTTAAAATTTGCGGAAAATAAGTTGCCCAATGAATTTAATTCTAATATTAGTAGCCACATATTTTTTTTAGATCAGTTTCCCATTCAATAGTTAAGTGCTTAAATTAATGAGGAATGTAAGAGTTTTAACGACACTTTATTAATCAGACTTATTTAATTAGCAAAAGAAGAAGAGGCTAACTCAATGATTTGACTTGTAATTTTGACAATAACATGTTAAACAATCCAAAAGTTGAATGCAATAAATGGCATAATTAATCCAGTCAGTATGCTTGATATCAAGTTAACAGAATGATTGTCAAGCACGCGATTACCGCTGATGTGTTTTACTTCTGGGCAAGGGTGTTCAACAACATGTCCGCTTGAATCAACTCCAGAATATTGTAATGTCGCTCCAAGCAACGAATCGATTATTGAACCGACAAGACCGGCAACTCCGCCAAACAAAATCAATGGCCATTGTGGTGGACTGGAAGCCAAAATATTACGATCGACCATATAATAAATGACCAAGAAATAAGATAGACCAATCACAAGACCGCCGAGAAAACTGTGAAATTAAACAAAAGAAACGGTGTCATTCCGAAAGTACGAATTAAAAATTATTTAAATTTTAATCAAAACTTGGTTTATTTACCTGACAAGTAGGCCAATTGGAGTAACGCCACCATTTGTGCCGCGAGGTACGCGTTTTCGTGTCGTTATCAAAAATGGTTCTGATCCCATTACTGAACCGATCTCGGAAGCCCATGTATCACCTGTCGTCGAAAATGACGAAAACAATATAAAGTCAGATTGAAATACTATTTTTTATAAATTCCAAAGAATGCAAGTCATGATTTGACACATACCATTACAACAAGCAAATGCCGATAATATTCCAATTCCAAGCCAACTAGAACGATATTGGGTGACAAAATCGATCGGACGCTCACTACTTCCACAATCCAAAAGATAAAGTAAAGCAAGCTGCATTGCCATGCCACCATTGCATAAAACTTGGACCCAATTTCTTTTTCCTTCGCCTGAAAATGTGAATTATTCAAGCAAAAACTGAATTCATAAATCTTTTCAAATCGATTTGTTCCAAAATTATGAACCTCCTTTGAAATCAGCTTCAAATTTCCGCTTCAAATGGCCACGAAATTTTGTGACGCGAGATGATGTAAAGAAAAATGTAGCCAAACATGCTAAAAATGCATGACTTGCCAACGACAATATGATAGCAACAATCAGACCCAACGTAGCACCACTGTAATTAACACCTTTTCGCTTAAGGCCGTAAACCATCAACAGAACAGGCATTAATGTTGAAAACAGCCATCGAGTCGGTGGAATAGCCGCATTTTCTACAGGAAAGAACCAATCAAATGCATAAACATTTTGACGTTCCCATTTCGTTAGAGAATGTTTTTTTCACTTACCCTCACTATCTTGCGAATTCTTTGTAATAAAAGTTAATGCCAAATTACCGATCCATAGAAATATTGATAATGGAATTGATAAACCGCACAATAAAATGGGTAAAATTGTATAAAAAAATGACTTTGGTTCCGTTGGTTCCTTGTGATTTGACATTTTTGTAAATTGTTTTCAATACTTTTTTTTGATCGATTTGTTAAATTGACTTAAATTACGTTGGCCGAATTTGAGTTAAAAAAAAAAATAAAATTGCTTCGTGTTCATCAAAAGTCATTGGTATTTATGTTTTAGTTAGCAGGCTGTGAGTTTGACAGTAGTATCGCCGTATGTGAGTATGTGTATTTTTGTTTACAAGCTACACATGTCAAAACAACTGTCCCAACAAACATATTCCACTTCATTTGTAAAAACATTTGGAATGAATTTTTTGAAATAAATTTGATTTTAAATCTGAAATCTCATACTGTTTTAAGCAACAATTTCGTTTAAAATAAAAAATAAAATCAACAATTTCTCTCAAATGTAGCATTTTTCTGTTTTTTTTTCTTGATTTTGTTCTTATTTTGAATAATCATAGAATTGAAGTGAAACCAGTCACAACTGAACTTTATTTTTTCTGTTTTAAAAAAACCAAAACTCTTCAAAAACATTTAATTGCTTTCGATTGATGCCATAAATTTCGAAATCAAATTCAGCCAAGTTACTTTATCAACATTACATTGTTTATACTTTTTGTATGACATATTTCATCAGAGTGACTTTCAATCAAAAAATTTGCTTTGAATCAATTTTGCTGTTAAAGACGTTTATTTTTCAAAAACCTTTATTACGACTTAAACAAAAAATATCACTTGTGTGGGTTAAATTTATGTCATTGACATTCAATGCATTCCAGATAAGAACATTGTGAGTATTGACTGCACGATTAAATGTAAACTCAAAATAGATTATAACTAGCGTTCTAATAAAGTCATTCACCGTTTGTTTTGTCTACAAACAAGAGTAGACTCTTGGATTTTTGTTTACTTGTCGTGAACGTGATTCAAATTCCGATCATGAGCATTCTGATAAGTGTAAATTGAGTTCATGTTGAGAATATGTAATGAAAGTGCCTGAAAGCTTGTAAGAACACAATAAGATGTGTCACAATATTGTATGTATTGTGTTTGTTTTTGTGTATTGGATTTATGACCTGATCTTGATAGACAAATTGGCACTCTACAGCGTACCTATCACGACGATAAGACGGTTTACAATTCTTGTATAATAAAACATTTGGTATTTTTGTTATTTTATTTTTATTCAATCCTCAACCACATGAATGGAACATTATCAGACTTTTTGAAACTTGTTTCATCATTAAAAGTTAATCAACGATCAATGTACTTCACAAATATTTGAGCAATTTTGCTTCTTTTACCAACGCCTTTAGGCCGTCAAGTACTTCCAAGGAATTCGGTATGATTTGATCGGCAGGCAAAATGAAACCATGTTGACCTTTATCTCTAAATTCAAATGTAAACGAAATTGGCACATTCGCTACTCCATAAGCCCAATCGATGCTACTTCCCGATGCCAGATCTATTGAAAAATAAAATGATTTTTGGATCAAAAAACTATTTAAAACTCTGAAAAACCCACAATACTTACATATTGCTTCTGCAATATTTCCCGTCACATAATCGGTTCCGTATCGTTTCGAAATCGCTTCAATGGTTTTTGTACCGATTTGAAACTATGTAAATCAATCGAATTGAATCAATATATATCATTATTATTTCTCAAATTTGAAATGCAACTGTGTGTCTTACCATATCTTTGTGATTTGGCGCATGATCGTATGTGTGCCCCTAAAAGTACCATGATATCAATTATTTAAAAACATAAAACGTTTTCAACGACTCACGAATGGGAAAAGAAGCAGTTGACTGTAGGAATGGAATGACATGTACAATTTAAGATTGTCAACAGTTTTTATAAACTCAGATATCGCAAAAGTTTCGGGCTCTGAAAAAGGCTTCGGACCTGCATAAGTTTCCGAACAGGGATTAGTAGATGAACCAACGTCTAGAATGTGAAAGACAAGATTTGAATAGTTACATTTCGTCTACGTGGTCTGTCCTTTTGTCATACATATATGTACTAACCTCCATGATGAAAATCGAAATTACGATTTGGATCACTTCCAATACAACTTGAAGAACTGTATGGTTGACGTGTTTTTCTCCACATTCGATTCTAGCACAGAATAAAAGTTTAAAATCAACTCAATTTCAAATTAATTTCCAACTTACGGTTGAATGAGTATATGCGTATCCATCGACGTTCAAAACTGGCACAAATACCCAATCATAATTTTCAACTAATTCTTTTATTTGCGGATCACTGGACGATAAGAATTCGTTCAAAATATACGTTGCGGTCGCTGCTGTAATCCATTCTCTTGCGTGGATTGTGGATTCAATAAAAATAGTTGGATTGCCCTATAAAATTAATATCAAAGATTAATCAAAATATAATAAATGCAAAATAATATTGGCGAGAAAACCTTTTTCCTTGACAATTTAACGGCTCGAATTGTTCGATTCTCGTATGATGTGCCAAAATTGTAGTTCGTAAGTTCATTTGGATATTGTTCCAAAAGTTGATCAAGCCAACTATATATGTTCTCCAGATCGTAATATTTTTCCCATCCAAATGTTGCGCGAGGTGTGAATTTTGGTTGCTCGTTATCGATCAATCTACAAAAATTAAAATCTTTAGATATAACTTTCAAATTATTATAAATCAATCAAAATACTAAGTTTACTTTTGCAAATTGTCAACTCTAATTTCATTCTCAAGTTGATATCTTTCGAAAAATTCCGTAATGTCTGCAAATCGATGTGGTGCAACAATAATTTCAGCACTTTTGAAAACCGAAATTGGTGACTCTATGTAAAAGAGACCATTTTGTGAGTTTTCTAAATATTGTAACACTTCCAATTGCTGTTCATTCTGTATTTTGATCGAATAAACTCGATAGTTTTCGAATCGAGCCTTTTCACCAGATGTTAACAGAAAACAAAGTGACAAAATAGCCAATGTTAAAAAATTCATGGCTTCAACACCAAATTTAACGTTCTAGTTGAAGAGAAAGTTGCAATAATAGTTCAAAGTATTGTAGTGATAGGCTCACCGTTTTTCACTCGTATAATTCTAACAAGTAACAACTCTTACCTTTTATAGTCTCGACGATTCGAGTTTGTTAAACGATAAAATACGTAAATCTCCATTAGAATTGTTAAACAAACATTACAGTTTCACTGTATTGCACATTGTCGAGTGCTGATTGTGTTTTGGTATCGCAAATACGTAGGAAAGTATATCGGAAACTGGCAGAACCACAATTACAACATGCACCAATGATAGAATTTAAATGTGAATATATTTGGTGCGATTACGGTGCTGTGAAATTAATTGTTTTATGGAGAAATTGATACATTGTTGGTTATTTCTCTAGTGTTGTGTAAAAAAAAACAATTTTCATGAACTATAAGAATGTCAAACCTTATATACGCGGAAGAAGTACTTTTGGATAAGGTTAGCACTAAAAATATTCGAGCGATTGTGTATTCAAGCTATCAAGTATTGGAATGACATTGGCTGTCAAAATAAATATGTAAAAATTACAAATTTTTTATTTTTGAGATACAGTGTTTCGAATAATTCACACCAATGTCAGCAGACATTAATGGAGTGAAATAATATTTTCAACTGTTTGTTGAATGTCATTCGGAGTTTCCATCCAGTCAAATTCCGAATTTTTTAAATACTTCGCATTACCGTTCATTTTCAATTTCAATCGAATACACATGAAGATAGTTATTATAACGGGCCTTTTTATGTAAACATTCCACAATTCCGGCAAAAAATAATCGCTGTTTCTCACTCATATAATTCTATTTATATTTTTTATCGCTTGCAATCTCGACGATTTGAGTGATAATAATAACAGAAGTCCAATCTCCTTTGGAATTGCCAAACCATAATGTTTGTTTGGCACTTCAATGTATTGGCCAATATTGCAAATATTCCACGAAGAAATTGTTTTCTTATTTGTCATTTTTCAAGAGATAGAATGTACATGATCAATAAAAATATTAACCTTTATTGTTGAACTTAATATGTTTAAAAAGTGTATTTGTACATAAGATTAGAACTAAAAGTATTTAAGCGATTTTGCTTGTTTAGTCATTGCTTTCAAGCCATCAAGTACTTCAACTGCATTTGGAATGATGAAATTGGCGGGCAAAATGAATCCATAATTACCTATATAAGAATTTAAATATTGTAAGAATTCATTCTTATTTCGGTATTTTAAGTAAAACATTACCGTTGCGAGCATCTCTAAATTCAAACGAGTATGTTAAAGATACATTTCGTTGAGCATAGGCCCAATCGATAGAACTGCCTGACGCAAGATCTGTTTGAATCACAAATAAGTTGAAAACGTGTAAAATTCGACATTTATAACATTAAAATATTTTGAGCTCACAAATAGCTTCCGCAATACTGCCAACGATATAATTCGTTCCATAACGTTTCTTAATTCCTTCTTTGGCTTTCAATCCAATTGCATTCTAAAATACAAAATAATATAAAATTTGATTGCATTTATGTAGATTTTTCTTTATCATACCATATCATGAAAGTTCTTTGCGTGGCTTTTGGTGTGTCCCTGAAATGATTTTGTTATTTTATAAAGTGGTATGAAATAATTAAACTCTCATCTCACATATGGGAACAGTAGCATTTGGCCATAAGAATGAAATGATATATACATCTTAATGTTATCAAAATTGCTAACGAATTCAGCCAATGCCTGTGTCTCTTTTTCAGAAAACGGCTTCGTTCCTGCATAGGTCTCGTAGCACGGATTTCTTGAAGCACCAGCCTCTATTTCGATAAGATCAAATATTTTTTAAATAGTAAAAATGATATCACTAGAAAAAAAGATAAAAAAATGATTTGCAAACCGGCGTGATGAAAATCGAAATTTCGATTTAGGTCCGTTCCAACGCAGAATGGATACAACCCATTTGATGATCGTGATTTTCTCCATAAGCGATTCTGAAAATTTGAATTTGAATTTCAAATTTTGTGTAAATATGACATTTAGTGTCCAACTAACCTTCGAATGTGTATAAGAATAACCGTCGACATTAAATACCGGAATGATGACCCAATCATAATTATCGGCCAATTCTTTGATCTCTGGATCATCAGACGTTACCAATTCGTTCAGAATATATGTTGCGGTCGCTGCTGTGACCCATTCTCTTGCGTGGATTGTGGATTCAATGAAAATAAGTGGATTACCCTAAAACAATGAATGTTACAGATAAGCGAATAATTTCCATTTTTTGAATAAAGCAAAAATAATAAAAATATTCAAACCGATTTTCTGGAAAATTTGATGGCACGAAGTGGTCGATTTTCATATGATGTACCGTAGTTGTAGTTTGTAAGTTCATTTGGATATTCTTCCAGCATTTCATCGAGCCATTTATAAATATCATCCAAATCATAGTACTTTTCCCAGCTGAATGTTGCTCGTGACGAAAACTGAGGCTGCTCTTCATCAATTAATCTAGAACAGTTCAAATAATTAATAGATTAATTATTGAATATTCAATCATTTTGATTCACAATTTTATAAATTTCTAAACAATTCGGACAAACTTTTGCAAATTGTTTGATTTGGCCAGAGATTTTATTTCGTATTTTTCAAATAAATCGTTTATATCAGCAAGTTTGTGTGGCGGCACTATTAGTTCGGTGAAATCACCGATTGAATTGGGTGATTCCAAAAATTCGATCCCATCTCGATGGTTTTCGAGCTCTTGTAAAATCCGGAGTTGCTCTTCGTTTTCAACAATCATTGAATATACACGATAATTATCAAAACGAGCTTTTTCACAAAATGCCATATAAAAACTAGCAAAAATCACAACCAAAGTAAGCAAACGCATTTTAACACAGATTTAATTTAAAACGAATGGCTCCTAAACACTCAACATTCTCAGTTAAATATACAAATATATGAATTTGATTATGTTCAATCTCTTTTATAATGTCGATGGCTGTGGTGTAGTGGGAATTTTGGAGTCATTTAACGGTGAGCTTATTTGTGCGGGTCTTGTTTTCTATTAGTTTCACGTACTATTTTTCTCTCATGTTCTCTTTCTTTTTTTGCAAAAAAAAACTAGCTGAATTTAATATTCTAGTTAGCAAACATTCATTTATATGATAAAACTAAATGTCTGGTTTTATTGAATATTTTTATACTGATGACAGTTCTTTGAATTAAAACTATCGCTTTAGCTTCAAAATTTCTATTTTTTTACAAATATCGTCGCAACTTTGCTTCTTTGAGCATAGCTTTTAGGCAGTCCATTGTGTCAAGTGCATTTGCAATGGCTGGTAGAACGAAACCGAAGCGACCTAATTCATTGAATTTTTAGCTGTTTAGAAATTCGGTATGCACTATCAATAGTAAAAATGGGTCTACCGTTACTATCTCTAAATTCGAATATGTATACAAGTGGCACATTTTGACTTGAATACACCCAGTCGATGCTGGTACCTGATGCTACGTCTTTTCCATTGAAAGATATGAAATATTAGTAAACTGTCGATTATATTTATAATATGTGTTACATACATAATACCTCAGAAATGCTACCAACGGTATATCGAGTTCCATATCGCCTTTGAATTGTTTCTTTGGCTCTCAATGCGATCTGATTCTGTGGAAAGAATAATCGTGAGAATTACGTAAAAACTCTCTGTTATAGCTTTGAGCTTACCAAACTTTTGTGATTCACAGGTCGTTGCTTTGAATGACCCTGAAAGATAATATGCACACATTTTTGTTATCTGAACTTACTAGAAAATATTCTAAACTCACGAAAGGAAAGTGTAACATTTGCCTGTATCATTCATACGGAGGACAGATATAATCGGATGTTGTTAAAACTTTTTATAAATTCTGCTAGCATTGCTGACGTACTACTAAATTCACTTGACGTACCCGCACGATGGAAAAAATTTCGATTTGCATCAGCACCAGTTCTTCTCACATTCGATTCTATATTTTAAACGATGGTAAAATAATAAATAAATATCACATCGTTTAAATGAAAACAAATCTTACGCTCGAATGAGAATATGCGTATCAATCGACATTTAGAACTGGAACAAAAACCCAATCATAATTGTTGGCCACTTCTTTGATCTCTGAAGTGCCTTCTCTCCAGTAATTAATAAAAAAGAACACAATAAAAATTGTAACACCAAAAAATGTGTAAAATTCAGAGCAGTGACGAGTTTTGAATAACAATGAACTTGCAATGAACTCATTGCAATATTATTTATAAATAATTTGCATTCAAATGTATCAATAAAGCAAGAACATTATTTATTTAATAAGGTGGAAAGAAACCACAGTTTTTATTTTATGTTTTTTAATCGAATTAGTACATTTTGACTCATAATTTTCGAAAATATTTCTATTTCACATTTATTTTATAAGTATTTAAGAGCCTTGGCCTCTTCGACCATCGCCTTTAAACCATCAACAATTTCTAATGAGTTGGGTATAATTTGGTCGGCTGGGAGTATAAATCCATGGCGTCCTAAATAAAGCAAATACAAACACTTGTGATTATACGAAAATTTCATCAAAAAATATTGCAATGTAAACCTTTGTCTCTGAACTCAAAAGTGAACGAGAGTTTAACATCTTGAGTACCGTATACCCAATCGATTGAACTTCCAGAAGCCAAATCTGAATAAATGCGATAAATCAATAATTGATTAAAATATAAAAAGTTTCATTACATATGAGGTGTGAACTCACAAATCGTTGTGGCAATGGGACCAACTGTGTAATCTGTTTTGTATCTCTTTGCAATAGCCTCTCTTGTTTTTCGTGCAATTTGCATCTGAAAATAAAAAGACGTTTTTCAAAATTGCACATTCCTTCAACGCTTAACAATTTTTATTTAACTTACCATATCACTGTGATTTGGTGCTTGTCTACGAGTATGCCCCTAAAATTTACACAGTATTAGATTGGTTTTTGTTATTGAAATAGATAAGGTACTTTAACTCACATATGGAAACAGCAATAACTGACTGTAAGAATGGAAGGAAATGTATAATTTAATGTTATCAAAAGTTTTGATAAATTCGGTTAGAGCAAGAATTTCTGGTTCAGATAAAGGTTTTGGTCCTGCATATGTTTCAGCACATGGGTTTGTTGAAGCACCAACCTCTAATAGTTTAGAATGAAATTTTAGAAAATAATTGAAAAAATCTACCATTTAAAAAAACACTAACCTGCATGATGAAAATCAAAATTTCGATTGGGATCGGCTCCGATGCAATTATCTGTGTGTGGTTGACGCGTTTTCCTCCACATGCGATCCTATGATCAAGATAAATTATATATCTATAACTTCCAAAATCTTATTCTTTGTAAACTTACATTAGAATGAGTGTAGGCATAACCATCTACATTGACAACTGGAACAAATACCCAGTCATAATTATCGGCCAATTGTCGGATTTCTGCATCTGAAGATGTGAGCAATTCGTTCAAAAAGTACGTGGCTGTTGCTTGTGTAACCCATTCTCGAGCGTGAATTGTTGATTCAATGAAAATTGTTGGATTTCCCTGTAAATGGTCAAAATGTCTCAAATTCATTCCAATATATATCTGATTTTGATATTTTTTCTTCATACTTTTTTGTGTGAAACTTTAATGGCACGTAGAGTACGATTTTCATATGATGTTCCGTAGTTATAGTTGGTGAGCACATTTGGATATTGTTCAAGTAATTCGTCGAGCCAAGCATAGATTGCTGTTAAATCATAATATTGCTTCCATCCAAAACCTGAACGTTCCAGATGTTGGGGTTGCTCTTGGTCAATAACCCTTTTAAAAAATATCAGTCCATTTTATTTTGAATATTTTTAATTGAATAAATGTAAATTACTTTTGCAAATTGGCGATTTTAATTTGATTTTTGATCTTCAATGTTTCGAATAATTCACTAATGTCAGCAAATTTATGGGGTGGCACGATGATTTCCGCTTTTTGTTGAATGCCAGTTGGAGTTTCCAAAAATGAGATGCCATCCAAGCCACTTTCGAATCGTTTCAATACTTCGAATTGTTGTTCATTTTCAACTTCAATCGAATACACACGATAGTTATCATAGCGAGCCTTTTCACTGAAACATGCAACGACGCAGGCAAATAATATTGCCACAATTATCAATTTCATATTTCGCAAAATATATTACAATTCGTTTGAACAAATAAATAACACCTTTTAAACATCGAATGACTGAAGATTCTATAAATTGTGCCTTTTTATACATTATTGTTGCGTAACTCTAATCTTTTGAAATTACATCTTTGAATAAAGTACAATTACCTACGTACAGTTTTTTTTTCTAAATTGATAACGAAGCCTCAATTAAATATCATTCGATTAATTCATTTGGGAATTTTATTTGAAATCAATAAGAAATAACAACAGCAACACATTTGACTCTTACATTTTGAAGTATGAAATCAAACACTTATAAGTGTTATGATAGAAATCTCGCTATGGCGAAATGAAAAATACATTGAACTGGCTACTGAATAATATGTACTTGTTTTTTTTTTACTTCAACTAATTGTGAACTTGAAACAACTGTGTGATTTTCCATATCACATCAAGTTTATCAACATAATTCATTTCTGATGGATGGATAACGGCATGCTTTAAAGCGGTGGGCAACAGTATCGTTAAACTTATCAGAAAATTTTACAAAGCGACATCATCGAAATCTCACGGCTCTAGCGAACTAAACGCACTAATATACAGGTGCACTTTGACTCTGATTCTGTGTATCTGCATGTATTGCAAATTCTGCACTCAATTGTCAATCGTAGCTGCTTGTGAAAACTATTATATCATTTTTCGAATGTGTTCGCTTCAAGGGGCAAACTACTTCACTTTCGTAATTCTTATAATTCAATCTAG